TGTTAAACACAAAACAAAAAAAACACTTTGCCACAAGACCCGAAAACTCCCTTCTATGACACGCAAGAAGAACCTGCTCTCTTTCGACCAGTGGATCTTCCTCTATGACCTTAGATTCCAGCCACGCCTTGCCAAACACCACGCCAAACGGCCCCTGCCATGCCGATCTGATAACCCTCTTTGACCTCAAACCTGCTGCTTTGAGTTAATTCCACAATGTCCATGATGACAACTGTCTGTGCATGGGGCATCCAGTTCTCTTTCAGATAGATGTTTGTGGCAAAGGGATGTCGCCAAAAGAGCAGGTTCCGTTCTTCACGTGCGAACGTCCAGACCTTGGACGGTCCCTTGCCCCATTTCTTTGACGATGTTTCTGTGCCAATCTGCTTGTAGCACAATAGTGTTAACCGGGTTCCCGACCGACAGGACATTCGTGCATTAACCATGCCTTATATTTGCCACCTTTAGTCGTCTGATTTGAACAAGAATTGAGAGTAGAGTTCAGAATAATTTCAAATTTTCCTCGGATGGACCAGCGTCCAATGATGGTGCGTTTTGAAAGGTTGCGAGTGGATCGTTGCACATGCAACGCACTCAACAATATTCCAGCTATATGACGGCGGTCTGTAAATAATCGAGGCTGGACCAGTCAATCCAGTGATTGATATCATGAGCATCGATCCACGCACTTGGGATCGATGACATGCATCAACCAATCAGCGAGCCTGACCAACCGATCCCGTTAGTCGCCTTTTACAACAAGCATAGTCGCCTTTTACGGCAAGCATGGGTTGCTGAAGACGGGTCCCGACCCATTTAATCGCCCAGTCATGACAGCGGCACCGTCTGTGCCAAATCCCATTACTCAGTAGAAATTGTCATTATTCTCATTTACTAGATGTTTTCTGTGAAGAAATTCGATCAGACTTTCCCTGCAGCAGTACAATCATGAACGTTTTCATTTCCAGCCAAGCCAACCTTAACTTCACCAGTGTTTACATCAACGTACCTAACATAGATAGCAAGTTTTTTTCTACATTCACATCACGTCATCTACCATGACACCAAAGAAGGGACTGTCTCGGGTAGCTTTAATTTCATTTTTTGCAAGCACATCAAACACACACTGTTCCATCTCGTCAACAATTCCGTGCTTTCTGTAATAATTGTTGCAATTGCTAATCCCGTTTTCAACTTGCATTTCCATCAAATCTTCAAATGCATGTAACAAAATGTTACGTTTTGCCATCACAAAAAAAACAGTTCTTAGTTGTTTTACATGTGCTTCGGTTTGTGCATTTCTATTGTCTTCCACAACAGTCTGTACGTTTGCTTCCGCGGTTTCAAAATGTCTTTGCAATTCTTAAATGTTAATGGAATCAACATGATTTTGCGATTGTTCATGTCGGGTGAGTGTTGAATGTTGGTAATTTGGGCAGCCTTGCACAAAAGGATTGTTTTGTTTTGCATTCAAAGAAATGTCACATATCATTCCGTCCGTTCCACGCTCGTATCATAGCCACAAGAATTTTGGCAGCCATTCCGTGCGGAAAAAGCGACTTAATTACTTTCGGTTTCTTTGGACTAGACGCTTCTGTGTCACTAACAGTACTTGAATTGTTTTTATCGCGCATCTCTTCCGTTTTCTTTAAAGACTTTTCATTCACATTTTCTTTAAATTTGAGAAATTTTCCCAAACCAAGTTGTTTCTTTTTGTCGGCCAACGTGACACATGGAAATGTCTAACACAACGAATGTACTGACCCCTCCAGGGAGCAATGCTTCAACCAATCAACAGCGCGAAACATTTCTCGCGAGAGGGGTAAATGGCTAAATTTAGAATTAATAAGTATGCCGGGGAAATCCCAAATGCAAGCGAATCGATGTTGCATGTCTGCCGAATTATAAACACTCGTAATATTTCCTGGTTGAATACAGTTTATTAGCAACAACAAAGACGTCCGAAGCTTTACATTTCATATATAAACAACAACATAGATAAGGAAGAGAATATATGGATGTCAACTTCTTTATTATCAGGAACACAATGTTTCGGAGTATATGCTTACTCCTTCATCAGGTGAAAGAAGGAGTAAGCATATTCTCCGAAACATTGTGTTCCTCATAATAAAGAAGTTGACATCCTTATTTTCTCTTCCATATGGGTATCACTTCTAAATGCCTTTCAAAAACTACATAGATATTTTTAAATTGCGTCAGTCATGACGCAATCATTTATTTCTGGAAGTATTTTTCCTTAATTTGGGGGCGGTCGGGTAGCCTAGTGGTTAAAGCGTTCGCTCGTCACGCCAAAGACCCGGGTTCGATTCCCGACATGGGTACAATGTGGGAAGCCCATTTCTGGTGTCCCCCGCCGTGATATTGCTGGAATATTGCTAAAAGCGCGTAAAACCATACTCACTCACTCACTTTTCCTTAATTGAGAGTCACGTACGCAAGAATCCTGCGTCAGGTTTGTTGGTTGGTTGATTTGTTGTTTAACGCCGCACTCAGCAATATTCCAGCTATATGACGGCGGTTTGTAAATAATCGAGTCTGGACCAGGCAATCCAGTGATTAATATCATGAGCATCGATCCATGCAATTGGGATCGATGACATGTATCAACCAAGACAGCGAGCCTGACCACCCGATCCCGTTAGTCGCCTTTTACGACAAGCATAGTCGCCTTTTACGGCAAGCATGGGTTGCTGAAGACCTATTCTACCCCGATTTTCACGGGTCAGGGGAAACCCTGTCGGGCCATATAGGTAATTTAGGTACACACACATAAAGGGTTATACTTACCACAGTGTCACTGGTGATTGTGGAGATGTCGAGTCGGGGTGGGGTGACACAACAGGTTATGCGGGTCTTCTCTTGTTGCCCCTTCATGTTCATCGTTTCCATACCGCGAAACTGCCTCGTGTAGGTTCATAAGCGTATGGCTTTCCGATTTCTTGATGGGTCAAGAATACTTCTTCGGAATCAGGAAATGTATCGATGCCATGTCGTCTCACGATAAACTGGTACTTGATATCTATTGCGTTGAGACAAGCCAGGGACCAAGTTAAATTGGCACCAATTACGTCATAATCTAAGGGGGATAATTCAGGCCTGTTTAGCTCGGAAAACGAAGGCATCATGACATTTTCGTACTTATTGTGAGCTTCCAACTTTCACTGTGAGAAAAATGAGTGTATATTTTCAAACATTGATATAAACTAATTCTAAACTTGTCGACGCCAGATTGAAAACAATTTGTGTTAAGGTCGGTCACATGTGGTAGCAATATTCCAGCTATATGACGGCGGTATATAAATAATCGAGCCTGGACGAGACACTCCAGTGATTGACATCATGAGCATCGATCCACGCAATTGGGATACGATGACATGTATCAACCATGTCAGCGAGCCTGACCACCCGATCCCGTTAGTCGTCTCTTACGACAAGCAGGGGCGGTCGGGTAGCCTGATGGTCAAAGCGTTCGCTCGTCATGCCGAAGACCCGGGTTCGATTCCCGACATGGGTACAATGTGTGAAGCCCATTTCTGGTGTCCCCTGCCATGATATTGCTGGAATATTGCTAAAAGCGGCGTTAAAGCATACTCACTCACTCACTTACGACAAGCACAGTCGCTTTTTACGGCAAGCATGGATTGTTGAAGTATTATTTATTCTACCCCGGATCTTTACGGGTCTCTGTCGACGATACACGCGATACAAACATATTAGAACTATTGTAAACATCAACATAACTTCTAAAATGATGACAGCAATATCGTTTTTGCATTTGGTTACCCGCTTATAGATACGGTGTGCTGTAAAGTTCGATTTCGACTTGTTTTTCTTTCTTTGAAACAATGATAATGGGGCTGATTGGTTTGCTGAAATAGTATTTTCCGTGAGTCTAATGTACATGGTACGTGCTGTGATTGTACAAGATAACTGATAATCAATTGTGTATGTAAATATAACGTCAAATACACATTATAAATCTGAATATAAATGGAATATATTATTATTGCACGACAGCCGTCGTATTTCCAACATTCTGCCATGAATATTAGATCTAACTGATATCAAATTTACAAATTATTGACGAAGACTGTTCTCTCGATTAACGTATGATAAAGTATTGCAAGACTTTAACTCTTATTTGAAAAGTCAGCAATGTGCAAACGCTTTAATTTTTTTCGTTCAGTGACGTTACAAAATGTAATTTATTTGTGTAGGCTGATAGACGCGTGATTTGACCTCGCGTGTTGTGACGTGGATGACGTCAAGTCAAACAGCTGATCTTGAGTGCGTTGCAAAGCGCCAATCGCTTGCAAGCGATGTACAGCGATTCGCCTTGCTAACTTTCAGCCGCTTGCAAGCGAAACACTCGCTGGCTGAGGTCGCTTCGAATTCGTTCTCAAACCAAGCTGCCTTTGTTCATTTCCACGTTGGTCCTGTCAAGAATTTCTTGTTCCGCTGTCAAGATTCCGGGGTAGAATAGGTCTTCAGCAACCCATGCTTGCCGTAAAAGGTGACTATGCTTGTCGTAAAAGGCGACTAACGGGATCGGGTGGTCAGGCTCGCTGACTTGGTTGATGCATGTCATCGATCCCAATTGCGTGGATCGATGCTCATGATATTGATCACTGGATTGTCTGGTCCAGACTCGATTATTTACAGACCGCCGCCATATAGCTGGAATATTGCTGAGTTAAACAACAAACCAACCAACCAATTGTTGACTTTAGATACTGTTGGAAAGACAATCAACTCGAGTTGCATGTTATACAATTTGGTTACACTGTGTGAAGAAATAAGAACGTTGTAACACTTTTGATACAATGTATAGGTTTTTGAATCCTCGACGTCATCACAGTGCGGTACTGAGCGGTGTACCAAACCAGCTGACGGCCCCCGGCACCATGGGGGTTGAAGCATTCATGAGCGTTTTGACCTAGTTCTTTAGTCCGTTTTGCACTGCTCCGTTTTAACTTGTATCCGTGGGTGTGGCACGAGATACAGAACATCGCCGAGTGGAGCCGATTGACCTCAAAACAGGGCGCCACGGCTGGAGAAAGGAGGTAGGCCGAAAATTATACCAAACCCAGTTTAGCAATAACATTGCATAAATATTTATTTAAGTTCTTATTTCATCCAATGATATCAAGTTAGAACGTCACAAACAATGAAGTGAACGTTTGATTATGTTGACGGTCGTCCTAATTTCAATCAGCTGACCTAGATTTAGTATTTGTTTGCACGTTCGAGACAACGGTGTCATTTACGAAAACTAGGTCAGTAACAATAAGCAGCTGTTACAATTCTAAGGTCAATAAAGTCAACAGAGAATGTTGATTGTTGTTGAACGCACTCAGTAATATTCCAACAATATGATGGCGGTCTGTTAATAATCGAGTCTGGACCAGACAATCCAGTGACTGACATCATGAGCATCGATCCACGCAATTGGGATATGATGACATATGCATCACAGCCTTATGATATCTGTGTTTTTACTCCATAGCATGGGGCTAGAAGGTCAACTCACAGCCTTATGATATCCTTGTTTATCTTAGCATGGGGCTACGCCAGTAAGGCTTGACGGACACTCTTAGGCCACTGACAATTGGGACACAAGATGGAGAGGCTTTTCGGTTGCGAGAGGTTTTATTTCCGAACACCACGAGGCGAGTACAAAATAATGAGCGAGAGAAGAGCGAAGACAAGGGAGGTAACTCGGGAGTCTTCCGTACCGCTAATAACCAGCCAACACTATTGGCGTAACTTCTTCTTTCCTTCTCCAGAAGGCCAGTAACAGAAACTGAGTAAAGAATTGGGCTTTCTGCCTGGGATGGACATAATGGTGGCACCATACACTAACCGCGGTGTGAACTAAATGTAACACAAACATTGCCTATAATGTACGAGAAAAGGTAACATTATGGGAATAGTGACAAACAAAATGTATGAAGCATAGGATAGACCGTCATAGGGTAGACTACCCTCAAGTCTATGGGATTATTCTGCCGAACACACTGTGTGAGTCCACAATGACTCGCTTGAGAATAAACTCACAGATTGTCTATATCAGTCAAGGACGTAGTCACGTAAACGGCTGGGTAGATGACGTGAGCGTGTGGGGACCTCTGTGTCTGTACCTGACTAGTCACGGGTTCAGAGGTGTAGACGTGGCCGGGAATATCGCTGACTGTATCTTCTTGGTCTGTTTGGATAGTAGGGGGACTGCAGGCTGGTGCAGGCATCTCATGAGTCTGATACTCAGGTATAGGGTCATTCTCTGGAGGACTAGAAAGGATTAGAGGAATATGAGGGGGGTCTGGTGGTTGATGGCAGCTTGCCATTGACTTGTCTCCTTCAGTGTCGTCATCCTCATTGGCCCCTGCATGAGTGCGTACTGACGTCAGCGGCATGAAATTAGGTACTGTGAAGCACTCAGACTGTTTCACTCTGTATGAAGCACTCCTCAACTGCTTCCCGGCAAACTTTTGAATGTTGCACCAAGAACCATCTGAGTGGACCACAAGGTAGCGGTCTCTAGCTCGAGTCTTGTTACGGTCTGTGTGAAGATAAACCAGGTCACCAACCTGTACCTGGGCACTAGAGGGTAGAACTCCCTTCGGGGCTTTTGACTTCTGGCTGTGGCGGTGATTACTGGAACGCTGGGAATGTTGGTCAGTTATCAACTGCCTGTCGCTGATAGGTAAATGACTGTTAGTGAATTGGTCCCGTTGTGTCCACATTTCTCTGGCCGATAGGCCCCGTCCCCGTATACGAGCGTTCAACCGGGCTAGGGTCACACAAAGCGTCAGAACTGTGACAGAGCCACCCAAAGGATCTTGGCATAGAAGTTCTTCTTCTAGCTCTTGGACGGCTCTTTCGGCAACAGGGTTTTTATTGACATTCTTCACTCTCCCTATCTCAAGATTTATTCTGTGCTTGTGAAGGAGCTTATCATTGATGATAGAGGCAAATCCGGTGGCAGGGTCTGTTCTGATCACAGCTACTGGACCGTCTAATGGTCTGAGTTCAACGCAAAGGCGTATGAGACCATCGCGTAGTGTATCTCCCCTCTCATTTTCGATGAGACATGCGCTGGTGTACAAGGTTACTGTTTCTCGCAAGACAAGAATGAGTTGTCGTGACCGCTTCAAGACATCTGCAGCAAACGACGTACCTATTGATTCTGGGGGGTCGAGATCAGAGGTCGACTGTTCTATGATGGTATGGGTCATCTTCTGTAATGATGAGCATTGATGGCAACTCTTCGTTGTTTGATCTATAGCTCTATCCATGTCGAGAGCATAGAAGAAACGGTGCACTACCTGTTTAAGTTGGTGGGAGGAGGGATGGTCTAACTGGATATGTATGGATGTGAGTAAACCATCTAGGACTTTGCGGGGTACTGCTATGAGTTCACGAGTTGGGGCTAGAGGTTCAACTCTTGGCACAACCAACAATCCATCCTTAGCTATGGTGACTGAATGGAGATACCTCTTGACATCCTTGATGTTGGTGAGCTTCTTAGATGGCCTGGTACCCTGAAGCAGGTGAGCATGGGTCCTTCTCATATCTTGACAGTCAGATTGTATGTCGTGCCACGCAGCTCTGCTGGTGAAGGGTAACTTAGCATCTCCGGCGATGATTTCTTGAACTGACATTGTACGGACAACCGAGTCTTCAGTTTTCCGGACAAAGGAGCAAATTTGACAAGTTGGCTCAGTACAATCAGGGGCGTTCCGACTTGAGAAGTCTGAGGGTACATTTGCCGATCCAGCCAGGTGACGAATAGTAGCCTGATATCGACTGACTGTGGAAAGGAAAGTTGATACGCGTGGGCTCGCTGAGAATTCACCCCTGCACAATTTCTCAAATGCCTGAACACAAGGCTTGCTGTCAGTAAGAATGCATGTGTTGTGGTGAGATTGGATGATGAAGGGGCTGAAGTGTTTCGTGGCCGCAGCAACAGAAAGCGCTTCAATTTCACAGGGAAGCCATGAAACCTGGCGTCCACGAAGTTTGGCACTAAAGAAACCTGCAAGAAGTTGCCTACTGTCGCGTGTGACGTAAAGTGTTGCTCCGACACCACGAGACTTGACAGCACCATCGGTCACGATCCATAACTGATCCTCCGGACGTGGGAGCACAATAGTACGGTTGGAACTCAATGCAGCCTGGGCCTTAGCAAAGGCTGTTGACAAGTCGTCTGACCATATGATTTTGTCTTTGCTTTGTGAACCTGCTAAGGCTTCATCCAACGGTGAAATGAGGGTGGCACATCCATGAATGACACGGGCTAGTACTTTATAAGCTCCAATGAACGAACGAAGTCCCCGTGTTGTCTCTGGAGGAGCGCATGTCGAGAGGGTCGCTATTCGGTGGGGGCTAGCGTGAATGGTGCCTCGGTTCCATATCCAACCCAGAATCGTGACCGTAGAAGGACAGATAACAGTCTTAGCGGCTGACAGATGGAGACCATTCCGGTGTAGGGCCTGTAAGACACGCTTCCATGTATGTAAGAGCTCTTCATGGGTATCCCCACCACAGTACAAGTCATCAGCAAGTTTAGCAACTACTCCCTCTTCAAGTAATTCTCCTAGCACTCGGCACATGAGCTCTTCAAGAGCAGTTTCTGACCCCGGCATGCCCATGGCTGACCTGGCATAGACTCTCACTCCTCTGAAGGGGGTAGCTACACCACAGTACTTCATAGACTCACGTGAGAGTGGAATCTGGTAAAAGGCATTTGTGAGGTCTGTGCTAATGATGTGTCTCCATTGGGCTATTTGGCGTAACGTTGAGTCAACATCAGGCATCAGGGATGGTTGTGGCTTACTGTAACGTCCAACGTCTGCAAAGGCAGTGACCAACCGGAAGCCTCCGCTAGACTTCTTGACTAGGAAGGATGGGTTTAAGTACTCTACGCAGATATTGGCATCCTCAGGTCTGACGAAGACACCCAAGTCTTCGAGTTCGTTGAACTTTGTCTGTAGTTCTAAAAGTCTGTCCCTGGAATATTGGGGAACACGTCCTTTGCGCTGCGGCGGTAGTACAGGTCCCATGTTCACAACAGCTTGGAATGGACCGGACTTCCCGTTATAACCCTGGGACCGGGGGTCAAAAACAGTGTCATACTCTTCAAGAAGCGACTTGAAACTGGCCACTACCAATGGGGGAATAGTAGAATCAGGATCTAACTTGACATGGCTAGAGTAGTTTGCGCCCTGGTGATGAACAGTTGAGGTTTTAAGACACGAAGTTGGAGGGTCATGGGCTGTCGCATTGTTGTCCGGTAGGATAGCAACTGGTCTGACTTGACAAAAGTGTTCATGTCGTCTCACGGCCTGTGGACTATCAGTCAAATTTGGGATGCGGATCCTGCCTGAGACACTTGTTAAGAGGCTAGGTGGAGGCCACATGTAGTCGTCTTTTGTAGTCACTTGTCTAGAGTCGATACGTGGCTCAACTGCCACGGTTCCATCTTGAGAGTAAATGTCGTCGGGAAGGCTGACCTCCAGATATTCACCAGGCCATACTGTACAACACGGGGAGCTCGTATAAGGCTTGCACGCCGCACAGTGTGACGAGTGGTCGGTTCGTCGGTAGAGGCATAAGTATATGTAGCATTGTCACCGACGTGCACTTGTCGTTTAGCTGGTCGAGTGTACACATCATTGCACTCAAGGAAGGGGGTTCCTGCAATGACATCGACATCGAGGTCCTTAACCACCAAGCCTTCGAACAAAAACTGTTTGTCATCGTGCGCAAATGTCATGCAGGTCTCTCCAACGACTTCTAGGGGCGAGGATCCATCTGCTTGATGGGCTGACTGTGATGACTTGGTAATCTTAGCATCTAGACGTATTGCGGCTGACAGGCGAATCATGTTGCCGGTTGCTCCAGAGTCGAGTGTGAGGCGGACACCATGATGATGGTGGAAAACATCAATATATGGAGATTGGCGGACCTGGATCCTAAGTGCTGAGAGGTTAGACTTAGATGATGTTGGGGGCTCGATGGTGATAACATCCTCTGTCTCCTCATTGTCATTGTCGTTTATGTCTAAAATGTGCGATATCTGTCTAGCCTTCGTCATGTATTTCCTGTCCCGTTCTAGCAGGTGTGGGCACACACTGAGGAAGTGGCGTATGTCTGAACGACCAGCTTGGCTGCACAGAGGGCACATCTTGTTTGGGCGTTGGGGGGAGGTCTTTGGAGGTCTGTTGGTAAATGGAGATCTTCGGTTGCCATCTGAGGACGCTGCAGCCCTCATAATCTTCACGTCATCCCCTGTCCGTATTTCATCTAGGAGAGATGAAAGCGCCTGTGAGACTTCCGGTTTGATGGAAGCTGAGGTCCGTGAGCGTAGTTCGGTTCCATATCTTTGCTTGACCAGTCTTGGCAATTCAGGGTGAATCAATCGTAGCCATGTGAGTATAACAAAGTTCTCTAAAGTGGGAGAAAGTTCCTCGTCCTCGTTGATTATCACTCCATGGTGCGTAATAGCACCCTCCCGACGCAAGAGATTGTCCTCAATAAAGGCCATGAGGCGCTGATATAAATCTTCTGGGCGTTCCTCAGGGTCAAGCTTAATGTCAGAAAAGTCTATGAAGTGAGCTCCGGTAGACTGAAATCCATAATGGAGTCTGATAACTTGCCAGATCTGACCAATGGATGTAGAATTCTTCACCATAGTGTTCCTTGAGATAACGGGGCAATAATTGGCTACTTGTCCAAGCATTAGTTCCAGGGCACTGACCTTTTGTAGAGCTGTTCGTCGCAACGCGACGGGAACCTCCTCATTATCATCCGTAAATCCACGCAAGGGAGCATGGGCGGTTTTCTTGAGCCATGTAGCACCTGTCGCTAGGAATGGAGCAAAGTTCCGATCTAGTGACAATGTATACAAAAGATTTTGACGCCAGTTCTCAAATGAATTAACTGTCTCGTGTTTGGTTAAACACCACTGTTTAGGTGCTCTCGCAGTACTAGCCATGATGAGGGTGTAACTTGTGCTATCCAGTAAAAGCAATACTGACCGATCGTCTGCTGTGAAGCGATTGTGATACTTTGAGTGTTTTGCACGATCCAACCGAATGTCAGGTGTGGGAACTTGTCCGTAGCACTGCCACCACGCCAGTAAGGTTTGACGGACACTCTTAGGCCACTGACAATTGGGACACAAGATGGAGAGGCTTTTCGGTTGCGAAAGGTTTTATTTCCGAACACCACGAGGCGAGTACAAAATAATGAGCGAGAGAAGAGCGAAGACAAGGGAGGTAACTCGGGAGTCGTCCGTACCGCTAATAACCAGCCAACACTATTGGCGCTAGAAGGTCAACTCACAGCCTTATGATATCTGTGTTTTTCCTCCTTAGCATTGGGCTAGAAGTTCAACTCACAGCCTTATGATATCCATGTTTATCTCCTTAGCATGGGGCTAGAAGGTCAACTCACAGCCTTATGATATCCATGTTTATCTCCTAAGCATGGGGCTAGAAGGTCAACTCACAGCCTTATGATATCCATGTTTATCTCCTTAGCATTGGCCTAGAAGGTCAACTCACAGCCTTATGATATCCATGTTTATCTCCTTAGCATGGGGCTAGAAGGTCAACTCACAGCCTTATGATATCCATGTTTATCTCCTTAGCATGGGGCTAGAAGGTCAACTCACAGTCTTATGATATCCATGTTTATCTCCTTAGCATTGGCCTAGAAGGTCAACTCACAGCCTTATGATATCCATGTTTATCTCCTTAGCATGGGGCTAGAAGGTCAACTCACAGCCTTATGAAATCCGTGTTTATCTCCTTAGCATGGGGCTAGAAGGTCAACACACAGCCTTATGAAATCTGTGTTTATCTCCTTAGCATGGGGCTAGAAGGTCAACTCACAGCCTTATGATATCCATGTTTATCTCCTTAGCGTGGGGCTTGAAGGTCAACTCACAGTAACTTATGATATCCATGTTTATCTCCAGAGGATGGAACTGGAAGGTCTGAATGATGCGGTGGAGTTCGGGGCTGAGATGAGAGAAGAGAACTTCTCTTTCCAGGAAGGGGAGACATTTCTCAATCATGGGTCTTACGGCAGTGTTCCCAAGTGTGTCCAGCAAGTAAGACGAAGGTATAGCTGATCATTTGTGAGAATAATTTCTGTAACCAGGCAGATCTGATCTCTTGTATGTGTTAATTTGTCTTAGTTTTCTGACATGAAAAGATGAAGCTGACATACTGAAGCGGCATAAACCACGACTCACTCATTCACTGGTTTGTTTGATCATGATATTGCTTTATTTTATGTTTTAATGCTTGTGTATGTATGTCAAAAGGAGTTTCATTGTCCCAATGAATTGTTTCACTAAAATCTGTTGATGAGATACTGGCCCATTGTTTCAGTATAACCACGAACTGATGAGATAATGGCCCATTGTTTCAGTATAACCACTAACTGATGAGATGATTGACCATCACTTCAATATAACCACGAACTGATGAGATAATGGCCCATTGCTTCAGTATAGCCACTAACTGATGAGATGATTGCCCATCGCTTCAGTATAACCACTAACTGATGAGATAATGGCCCATTGTTTCAGTATAGCCACTAACTGATGAGATGATTGCCCATTGCTTCAGTATAGCCACTAACTGATGATATAATGGCCCATTGCTTCAGTATAGCCACTAACTGATGAGATGATTGCCCATTGCTTCAGTATAGCCACTAACTGATGATATAATGGCCCATTGCTTCAGTATAGCCACTAACTGATGAGATGATTGCCCATTGCTTCAGTATAACCACTAACGGATGAGATAATGGCCCATTGCTTCAGTATAACCACTAACTGATGATATAATGGCCCATTGCTTCAGTATAACCACTAACGGATGAGATAATGACCCTTTGTTTCAGTATAACCACTAACTGATGAGATAATGACCCATTGCTTCAGTATAACCATGCACTAACTGATGAGATAATGGCCCATTGTTTCAGTATAACCACTAACGGATGAGATAATAGCCCTTCGTTTCAGTATAACCATGCACTAACTGATGAGATGATTGCCCATTGTTTCAGTATAACCACTAACTGATGAGATAATGACCCATTGTTTCAGTATAACCACTAACTGATGAGATGATTGCCCATTGCTTCATTATAACCATGCACTAACTGATGAGATAATGGCCAATGGTGTCAGTATAACTACTAACTGATGAGATAATGACCCATTGTTTCAGTATAACCACTAACTGTTGAGATGATTGCCCATCGTTTCAATATAACCACTTACTGATGAGATAATGACCCATTGTTTCAGTATAACCACTAACTGATGAGATAATGACCCATTGTTTCAGTATAACCACTAACTGATGAGATTATGACACATTGTTTCAGTATAACCACTAACTGATGAGAAATTGACCCATCGTTTCAGTATAACCACTAACTGATGAGATCATGGCCCATTGTTTCAGTATAACCACTAACTGAAAAGATGATTGCCCATTGCTTCAGTATAACCACTAACTGATGAGATAATGACCCATTGCTTCAGTATAACCACTAACTAATGAGATAATGACCCTTTGTTTCAGTATAACCACTAACTAATGCGCTAATGACCCATTGTTTCAGTATAACCACTAACTGATGAGATAATGACCCATTGTTTCAGTATAACCACTAACTGATTAGATAATAGCCCATTGTTTCAGAAAAAGACAATATCATATTGTTTCAGTAAAACCACTAACTGATGAGATAATGGCCCATTGTTTCAGAAAAAGACAATACCACATTGTTTCAGTAAAACCACTAACAAATGAGATAATGAGCAATTGTTTCAGTAAAAATAACACACAATGATGAGAGAAAACTGTCCTCATGATGGGATAAGATAATTATTTCAGTAAAATGAGATAATGGCCCGTTTTTTTAGTAAAACCACTAAATGATGAGATCATGGCACATTGTTTTTTAGTTTGTTTGTTTGCTTGTTGTTGAACGCCGCACTCAGCAATATTCCACCTGTATGACGGCAGTCTGTAAATAATCGAGTGTGGACTAGACAATCCAGTGATTGACATCATGAGCATCGATCCACGCAATTGGAATACGATGACATGCATCAACCAAGTCAGCAAGCCTGACCGCCCGATGCCGTTAGTTGCCTTTTACGACAAGCATAGTCGTCTTTTACATCAAGCATGGGTTGCTGAAGACCTATTCTACCCCAGATCTTCAGGAAGGTACTGGAAGAGTCTGACTGTATTCTGCTGGACATGCCTTGTGGTGGGTTTAGATGTTCACCAAAGCCCTGATTTAAACCAATCAGGGCTTTGGTGAACATCTATAGTAGGTAGTGGTACAATGTAGGTGAACATAAGTAATTTTGCAAAGGTTCATAATAAAAATGTGTATGAGGTGCTAGGTACCAGGTAGTGGGAGTTGTCATTGCTAGTGGATTCTGACAGGTCAAGTTTGCACAAAGTTGGTAGGTTCTAATAAGAGCAAAGGTCACACGTGTTTCAGTCACCAATAGGTGACTGTGAACACAGCCTGGTGGCCATTTCCTGTCAAAGTCTAGATGTTGTATTTAGTGCCAGGTGTAACATTCTGACATTGACTCTGTGGTGACTGGACCTAAATTGTACATTTGCTGGAACTGCTATTTTACCTGTCCTGATTTGTTGGAACTTAAAGTATTAACGGAAATGAAAAAAACCTGCTTTTTCGATCTCAGATTTTTAATAAATGCAGTTAATGTACAAAATATATAAATATTCAAACAACTCAATTAGTACTAATTGGACCTTGGCACAAATACAGCACATCAAAGGTTTTTATGTCTTTTTACACGTAAAATTGTGTAAAAATATGAACAAAACAGACTATTGTGAAACTGAGCATAACCTGGTGTGAATGTCCATGACCTATGACACCTTGACGACAGGTGAAAACAGGTGCTTGAAACCCATGTGCATGTGATTTGTGAGTGGCATTGTGGGATAGTGAATCATCGTCAGAATATCAGAACGTAAAAGTAACATATTCCCTTCTCAAACAACGACTTACATGTCATTATTATTATGTACATAAACATATCTGTTATTTTTATTGTTGTTTTGATAACTTTTTTCCAGGCTAATTTGCATAATGCCTATAGCCTGTTTCTGCCATGTCAATTTGGACTTAGTTTTTTGAATATTTTTGAATGTTGAAAGTGCCTACAAATTACCTCCTGTAAAGTACATTTTGTATTGAGCACTGAGATAAAACTAGCAAATCCAGACTAGTACTTTTCAAGTTGTTTGGTTATTTCGTATTTACATCTACGTAATGCTTTGTGTCGATTATTAAATCCAGCAATACAGTTTTATTTCATTTCCATGAGTACTTTACCATTATTTTGTCCTTATAGTAAACATTTTCCATTCCAAATGATTGCAATCTGCATTCTGACATCAATGCATCCAACTCACTCACTCACTCACTCACTCACTCACTCACTCACTCACTCACTCACTCACGCACTCACCCACCCACTCACTCACTCACTCACTCTGATATCAATATGTACTGACTTCAGATTCCTGGATGAGATGTCAAGACATCCTGATGACTGGTACCGGAGGAATGTCTACAAGTATTGGCAGGAATCACAGAAGGCAGCAGCTGACTTCATGCACTGTGATCCCAAGGACCTGGTGTTTGTTGAGAACGCAACAACAGGTACACAAGAGGCGTGATCTCAATCTCAATAAAATAAGATCATTTACTCAAATACAATACCCCGCTGCGTAAGGATCTGAAAAATCCTTCAATTTGCAGATGATCTAAATCTTACACATTGGTGACATTACCAGGCAGTCACAGCTACCAGGTCCTTCACAGCATGGACCTCCGTCTCTGCTGAACTGGGATGGTAGGGTAGCCTTGTGGTTCAAGCATTCGCTCGTAAGTGGCTGGGTTTGATTCCCCACAAGGGTACTATGTGTGAAGCCCATTTCTCGTGTTCTCCACTGTGATTGGGAAGGATTAATTGGTCAAGCTCTCTGACTTGGTTGATTGCGTGTCTCCGGCAACCTATTCTTGTCGTGAGAGGCAACTAAATTGATCGTGTGGTCAAACTCTCTGACTTGGTTGTTGCGTGTCTCCAGGAACCTTTTCTTGTCGTGAGAGGCAACTAAATGGATCGGGTGGTCAAGTGCCAATACTTGGTTGATTGTGTGTCTCCGGCAACCTATTCTTGTCGTGAGAGGCAACTAAATGGATCAGGTGGTCAAGTGCCATGCCTTGGTTGATTGCATTAAACAACAAACAAACAAGTATGTATGTCATTCACAGGTATAAACACAATCCTGAAGAGCTGCCGTTACAAAGCTGGAGATATTCTGTTGTACACCACGCTGACATACAAGGCTATAGCCTATACCTGCCAGGCCACAGCGGAGCTATATGAGGGTAAGCTGTAGATATTCTGTTGTATACTACGCTGACATACAGGGCTATGGCCTATACCTGCCGGGCCACAGCTGCTATATGAGGGTAAGCTGGATATATTCTGTTGTACACCACTCTGACCATACAGGGCTATAGCCTATACCTGCCAGGCCACAGCGGAGCTATATGAGGGTAAGCTGGAGATATTCTGTTATATACCACGCTGACATACAGGGCTATAGCCTATACCTGCCATGCCACAGCGGAGCTGTATTAGGGTAAGGTGGAGATATGCTGTTGTACACCACACTGACATACAGGGCTATAGCCTATACCTGCCAGGCCACAGCGGAGCTATATGAGGGTAAGCAGGAGATATTCTGTTGTACACCACTCTGACATACAAGGCTATAGCCTATACCTGCCAGGCCACAGCGGAGCTGTATTAGGGTAAGGTGGAGATATTCTGTTGTATACCACGCTCACATATAGGGCTATAGCCTATACCTGCCAGGCCTATACAAGCTAAAGGGCCCTGAACAAGGGTATATGTGTTTACCCGAATATTTTTCTCGTCAAAGGTTTACCTTATTGCTTTAAATATGAGCACTGTTATTGGTTCCAGGATGTCACACAAGATTATGTACATATTTAAGGAGTATGTGAACATATTTACCGACACAATTTGAAATCAAGCACTTAATATGTATATAAAAAAAATAGTTCTGCCTTTTCCATGTGTAAATTAATTGAAGTGTTGGTTCAAGATAATGTATACAAACCACTGTCCATTCCTGAAAAATAATGGAGCTTTTAAACAATAGAATGACGTCACAGATGTGGTCTAATTGCAACAAATGTCCATTTACATATGCATTATCTGGCTTAAAACACAGCATCAGAGTAAAATAATACTGCATAATCAGATTTAAAATACAGCGTGAAAGTTAGAATAAATCAATAAATAAAAAATGAATATATCTCTGAATGTATAACAATGCCTAGCAAAACAAGAAATACAGTTAAAATGGTTAATCATCAATTTATTGACCAAGTTTGTTTTACCTGCTTGTTCACCTGAATTGGCTTAAGGGATGCTGTGTGTTTTTCTGAGCAACACACAATACATTATTTTTTACACTCTGAATCAAAAACAATTACAATATTCTAATCTTTTCTCAAACTCTGAAACGTGCAGCGTAGATTGTGGTAGGTAGGCGAAGCATGTACTGTTGTGTTGGTCCTCTACCCCTACGACTCCACCTCGGTTAAACCGCTGATCGTCTATAACACTCATCAATTATTTGGACCCCTCAAGGTAGCATTGTAGCGAGGGATCACTGGATCCGGAGTTATTACTGCACATAATACAGAAAAATCTCTTTTTCCAAAATACTTCATCACCAAGAAGGGGTACTATATAGGGCTGGGACGAGTCCAAATTTACGACCCACCCCGCTATTACCCGACCCTACCCGGGTACCCGCTACAGGTCTAAAGAGTTTGGTACAAAATGTCCGATTGGAAATAGTTTGAGCGTACCCTGGTAAAATGTATTTAAATATATGTATAAAACGATCTGGTCATGCATACACTGAAGTTGACTGAAGTGTTATTTTTATTGAAACCTATAAAGGTCAGAAGCAATGGTGCTAAGTCAGAAAGAAATGCGAACATTAGTGACTTGTACTGTAATCATAGAGTTCTGGATATGTTTAATCATTAAACAATATATCACATGACTAACCATGGGTCCGGGTAGTCCTGTGGGTACCCGGGTCCTACTCAGTACCCACCCGACCCGAGTACCCGAGTTACCCGTCCCAGCCCTATTACTATACTCAAAATACTACCATACTCACAACTCTGTATGTACACATTTCTATATTGACAATTCGTACATTTGTGCCCATTCACAATTTGTAAGTGTACTGGACACAATACTGTGTGTCCTGTAGAACCCTGCTTGTGGTTAAGGGTTGTCAGAAATAGCTTCAAGTTTTGTTGAAAGTCATGAGAAAGAAAAAACATTTACAGGGTAGGCATTTAACTGTTACAATATTGATTGTTTAACTTTCATGACCGATATGTTTCTACTGTTATGGTCAGCATCTCATTGGAGGTGAAACTGGAACTTAATAATTGTGGGGGGTCCTTACAAAAGAGTGACATGCACAGTTCTTCTGATGGCCGGGACCCTGGATCGTTGACAGGGTTTTGCATAGCCGCGTTACAATGGGAGTCATGATGGCTTCTTGTAGCGTCATTTTCTAAATTTGGGAGTCATGATAAATTATTCACAGTTGAGCTCTTGCTATTTTGAAAATGTTATAAATATTCTGTCTGAACTTAGATGTCCTCAGTGAATTTGTTGTGTCAGTTATGACCTGTATCAAAAACCTTTGCTTGTATTTCAGAAATTGTTGTGTCAAATACACAGGAATTACACATTATGTGAAGCCCTGCATTGACACTTGAAAGTACAGGTGACCCATCCTGTCTAACAGGGTCTGTAGCCCTATATTTCTAATGCTTGGCCTTATGTTTCTAATGCTTGGCCCTATGTTTCTAATACTTGGCCTTATGTTTCTAATACTTGGCCTTATGTTTCTAATGCTTGGCCCTATGTTTCTAATACTTGGCCTTTTGTTTCTAATGCTTGGCCCTATGTTTCTAATACTTGGCCTTATGTTTCAAATGCTTGGCCTTGGTTTCTAATACTTGGCCTTATGTTTCTAATGCTTGGCCCTATGTTTCTAATACTTGGCCTTATGTTTCTAATGTTTGGCCCTATGTTTCTAATACTTGGCCTTATGTTTCTAATGCTTGGCCCTATGTTTCTAATACTTGGCCTTATGTTTCAAATGCTTGGCCTTGGTTTCTAATACTTGGCCTTATGTTTCTAATGCTTGGCCCTATGTTTCTAATACTTGGCCTTATGTTTCTAATGTTTGGCCCTATGTTTCTAATACTTGGCCTTTTGTTTCTAATGCTTGGCCCTATGTTTCTAATACTTGGCCTTATGTTTCAAATGCTTGGCCTTGGTTTCTAATACTTGGCCTTATGTTTCTAATGCTTGGCCCTATGTTTCTAATACTTGGCCTTATGTTTCTAATGATTGGCCCTATGTTTCTAATACTTGGCCTTATGTTTCTAATGCTTGGCCCTATGTTTCTAATACTTGGCTCTATGTTTCTAATGTTTGGCCCACTGTTTCTAATACTAGGCCCTATGTTTCTGATTCTTGGTCCAATGTTTCCAATACTTGGCCCTATGTTTCTGATATTTGGCTCTATGTTTCTAATACTTGGGTCTATGTTTCTAATACTTGGCCCTTTGTTTCTGATATTTGGCCCTATGTTTCTAATACTTGGCCCTATGTTTTAATATGTGGCCCAATGTTTCTAATACTTGGCCCTATGTTTCTAATACTTGGCCCAATGATTCTTATACTTGGCCCAATGTTTCTTATACTTGGCCCAGTGTTTCTAATACTTGAGCCTTATGTCTAATACTTGGGACTATATTTCTAATAATTGGTCACATTTTCTAATTCTTGGCCCTATGTTTTTAATACTTGGCACATTTCCACTTATATTCAGTCACTTGAGGCATGAGCCCATGAAGAACAAAAATAAAGTTTCTCGTCAGGACCTTATTTAGAAAGACCAGGCTATTTTCTTCAGTTTCATCTCTCATTAGGCTGAAAGCAGTAATAGTGACATAGTTTGAGCAAAGAAAGATAACGCTTTAAATATTTAGGAACTGAACAGTAATTTTATGCTAAGATTATTTCCCAGACATAATCAAATGCATTCAGTCTCGTAATAGAGCCCATCAAGGGTAAAGTCCTAACACCACGCTGGTGACACATGTAATTCATCAAGCTTACATATATGGGTGTGCAGTATTATTGGTATATGCGTATCCCAATATAATTTTTTAATGCTTGGTATATCAGGTGAATCCAAGTATTGATTTTTATCAAGTGTTTTAATGTTATACACATGCCAAATACCTTTGAAATTTTTCCGTAATTCCAAAATACAAGTGTACATTCTGGAGTTTGTCTGTGGCAGTGGTGTAACACCAAGTCATCACTGTCCCGGAGTATGCATCCATGCATATATAGAATGAGTAAACATTATGTTGTTCAACATCTTGTTTTGTTACATGTATGAACTTCAATGCATACGCTGGGTGTTTCAAAATGCTTCTGAAGTCAAAATTTAGAAATATACAATATATCGTGATTCGCATCGCAATACAGCGTTGTGCATTGAAAATATTGTATTACACTTTAAACATCCAATACCCATCCCTACTTACATATGATACTGAGTTTGTTACTTCAGGGGTCAAGTCAGCTGAGTTGGATATACAATTCCCAATAGCCAGTGAGGATGAGATTTGTGAAAAATATGAAGACTTCTTCAAATCCAACCCGGAAACCAAAATTGCTGTTCTAGGTGAGTATGGATTGTTAAGAATAATGGCGGGATCAGGTGGTCAGGCTCAAAAATGTTCAGTAGTTGAAAATATCTTTTTAGAAACATACAGCTATTTCGCAATAAAACACATGCTTTTTTTTATCAAAACATTGAACTTCATCTGAAATATGGAAGATATATTGATAATTGGTGGCCATATTGGATTATGCAAATGAGACATATTTCCCAAACTGGGATTGCTTGAGACTTCTAGTATGTTGTTTTCGGGACCTTTTAGAAATGCATTGTGGTGAAATAAATTCTGTTGCAATTTGTTCCAAGTTGAGTGCCAAAATGGCCTTGATTACCAGGACTTATTACCAGGGGCATCATTCCCTATTACTTTAACCATTAAATCTTTTGTTTTATTCACAATACTCCTTGGTAAAAAACATCCTGACAGCCCTTTGCTGCAATTGCTGAAATCCATTATGGAGATACCCCTGCTTCATGTGGTGAATCTTTATTCTACATCATTTAAAATACAGCTATGTATTTGTCAGCATGATCAGACTGATTAGAAATGACTGACTACCAAATGCCAGAATACTTGGGCTGCAATGAATACACTATGTGGCGAATATGATTCATATCTACGAATATAGGGTAACAAATACAAATATTAATTCATGAATACCATAATAAGTCAGCAGTTGATGTATTATTTGTTATATTCAGTGGACCAATGACATAAATTTTTTGACATGGTTTGTTAACTATTAAAATATTATACATTTATATACTGCACTTATCCAGGTACTTATAAGTATCTACTTAAATGCGCCAATGACCAGTGACGACAATACTAACAAATTAAATATTATAAGAGTGTGTGTTTTTTTAAGACATCTGTGCATATATATGTCCTTATGGATATTTTGAGGTACAGGGTATGTAAATGCACATGATTGCATATTCATTAAAAGTTTGGATTCTAGTGTCCACGAATAACGAATTCAATTCTATTCATTAATGGGTAGGGTCGATTCACCAAATACACGATTGAATCGTAACAGCCCTACAGAATACCTCTGTAATGTATCTGTTGATGTTGCACTGCTTGTTTGCTCATATGTTTATTTCCATATGTTTGTCCAGTTTAATTTTGTAAAAGAAAATTTAACATTGAATTCTTAGAATACAAATTTTTATGAAAATATTATTTCTAGGTGTGCCATTCAGGCTCTAGGAACTTATAAACTGTGTCATCATGATTTCAGACATGATATTGACACTGTAATACAAGGAATATTAAATATGGATTGTAATAGGTCATGAAGAATTGTCTTATGTTTGTATTGACCACGGCCTGTGATTGTATGTCAGATGCCATCACCAGTCCGTCAGCTGTAGTCATGCCGTTGAAGCGCCTCATCACTCTGTGTCACAGGTATGGAGTTTTGGCCGTTGTAGACGGCGCACATGCTCCTGGTTTGCTTCCAGTCAATCTCACCGAACTCGGTGCTGATGCTTTTACAGGTAATACTCATTTGGTATTCTTTTTGTGAAAGAAAAAGAAACAAATAAGTTTGCCCCTCCTGGATTTTTTTATATCAATCAATCAATGTTTTATTCCAACAAACCACCATAGGTGGTACAGGAACAATACAAATAAAGTTATTTGAGGTAAACAAAACTTTGAACTTTGCAAGATTCGGTCATTTACAAAGATAAATGGGAATATAATGTGATCTCATGGTATCCAAAAAGGAGCATTTAAATAAATAATGAAACTCGTTGGCTATCGCCGGTGAGCTGCATAGGTTACAATTTCTATTGATTCTGGGTATATTTTTCCAGTGGCCTGTCTCTACAGGTAAATAATGATTCGATGTCCAAACTGACATAATAGGTCGAGAGAAATAATCAAGTAGCAGGAGGTATTTTTCAAACGACGGTAGATCTTTGAACAATTTATAGTAATTACCTTTGGAACTTTTATCTATATCATCCCTCCATTGTTGTATAAAATTATCTTTAAGTACTGTTTCTACCATAGTACTGTTTCTTCAAATACATAGGTCAAGCCAAAACTGTTAAAAATATTTTTTATGTGAGATATCCATACGTTACTATTACTAATATTGAGGGTGTGATCTAATTTGAACAGTTTAAGGATGCGTGATGACAACTTGAAAGGAGAAGATATGGTTTCTAAATTATACCAAAATGAGATCATTCTTTTAGCAATTGTAATGTTCACAGGAAAACCGTTTTATTTGAATCATGAAAATAAAAGTTGGGGACAAGTGATACTTGTACAAATATCATCCCTCAACAGTCCCGACCTTGCCCCAAGTGACTGTTATCTCTTTCAAGGCCTAAGGTTAGTGCTGCAGGGACACCGTTTTGCAGACGAGGATGCTTTGAAGTCTGCCATTGAGGATTGGTTTGAGGGCCAATCAGAAACATACTGCAATGGAAGGATTACAAATCTGAATGACAATAGGACTAAATGTATTGAAAAGGAAGGTCATTGTGAAACGGTCACGGCATGACCTTCCTAGTCCGTTACTTTATATGTTTACCTATTCACATGCCAGAAAATAAACTGGAGTGACCTTGAACTTGTTTATCAACCAATCAGATTTGTGCACACTTGTCCTACCATAATTGATTAATCTTTAACAGGTAACTTCCACAAGTGGGTGTACACTCCACGAAGCTGTGCCATTCTGCATGTAAAGCGAGAACATCACAGCTGGGTTCACCCGCTTGTCACGTCTTGGAACCAGCATCTTACTCTGGACGAACAGTTCTTCCTGGTCGGCACCATAGATCACACGGCCTATGTTTCTGCCAAATATGCAGTGGAGTTCTACCAGCGGATTGGCGGCATGGTAATTTGCACTTGTCTTGTGTCAGGGACTGTGTTGTTGATTTCAATAAATAGGAGGGTGCTTAGCTATGCAGAGTGGCATCCCTTACATATGGCAGGAACCTATTATTGTGGGTTCGAATCCTAGAGTGGCACTGAATATTATGCTAGTGTAGAAGTGTATGGATTCATCTGACTGATGACACCCTTACCATCAGGTTAACTTCTTTGGTCATGTGGACACAATTATGAAGAAGTATTGTTTGATTGTTATGGCTAGTTGTCCATCTTCCATCAATCTTATCGGACATCTTTCATACTGTACATCTAACATATCATACATCCATCGTACCCTACATCTATCATACCATATATCTATCAAACCGTACAACTGTCATATCGTACATCTATCGTAAGGTACATACATTAAACCATACATGAGTCATATTTTACATCCATCACACCATACATCTATCACACCATACATCTGTCACACCATACATCTATCACACCATACATCTGTCACACCATACATCTATCACACCATACATCTGTCACACCATACATCTATCACACCATACATCTGTCACACCATACATCTGTCACACCATATATCTATCACACCATACATCTGTCACACCATACATCTATCACACCATACCTCTGTCACACCATACATCTGTCATACCATACATCTATCACACCATACATCTATCACACCATACATCTGTCACGCCATACATCTGTCACACCATACATCTATCACACCATACATCTGTCACACCATACATCTGTCATACCATACATCTATAGTACCGTACATCGATCATACCATACATCTATCATACCATATATCTGTAATATTGTACATCCATCAAACCCTTCATATATCATATCGTAGATGTATATTATCATACATTTGTCATATCATACAATAATCATACGTCCATCATGTCATACATTTGTCATACCATACATTTGTCATACCATACATCTATCATACCATACATCTATCATACCATACATCTATCATACCATACATCCGTCACACCATACATCTATCACACCATACATCCATCACACCATACATCTATCACACCTTACATCTATCATACCTTACATCTATCACACAATACATCTATCACACCATACATCTGTCATACCATACATCTATCACACCATACATCTATCTTATCATAAATCTATCATACCATACATCTATCACACCATACATCTATCACACCATACATCTGCCACACCTTACATCTGTCACACCATACATCTATCACACCATACATCTATCACACCATACATCTGCCACACCATACATCTGTCATACCATACATCTGTCACACCATACATCTATCACACCATACATCTGTCACACCATACATCTATTACACCATACATCTGTCACACCATACATCTATCACACCATACATCTGTCACACCATACATCTGTCACACCATACATCTATCACACCATACATCTGTCACACCATACATCTATCACACCATACATCTGTCACACCATACATCTATCACACCGTACATCTGTCACACCATACATCTGTCACACCATACATCTGTCACACCATACATCTATCACACCATACATCTGTCACACCATACATCTATCACGCCATACCTCTGTCACACCATACATCTGTCACACCATACATCTATCACACCATACATCTGTCACACCATACATCTATCATTCCATGTCTGTAATATTGTACATCCATCAAACCCTTCATGTATCATATCGTAGATCTATATTATCATACATCTGTCATATCATACACTAATCATACGATACAGCTATCATGTCATACATTTGTCATACCATACATCTGTCATGTCATACATCTATCATATCATATACATCTATCATACCATACATCTATCATATCATACACCTATCATATCATACACCTATCATATCATACATCTATCATACCATACATCCATCATACCATACATCTATCATACCATACATCTTTCATGTCATACATCTATCATGTTATACATCTGTAATACCATACATCAATCATATCATACACCTATCATACCACACATCTATCATACCATTCATCTATCATATCATACATCTGTCATACCATACATCTATCATACCATACATCTATCATGTCATACATCTATCATGTCATACTTCTATCATATCATACATTTGTAATACCATACATCTGTCATACAATACATCTTTCATATCATACACCTATCATACCATACATCTATCATATCATACATCTGTAATACCATACATCTGTCATACAATACATCTTTCATATCATACATCTATCGTACCATTCATGCATCTGCCCAATCGTCTGTCATAAAGTCCAGCTATCACATATAATCGTGGTCATCATGTACATACATGTATTAGCATGCATGCAAACGTCATTGTCAAAAGTCTGCTTCAACACTCCTGACATGGAACTGTTTCAGGATAAGATCATCGGCTACACATCCAAGCTCGCTTCGGAGGCACATGAGTACATTCTCAAGAAGCTCAAAGCAGAGCCATTGCAGATACCTCAGAGTATGGAGTCTCCCACCATGAGGGTGATCCAACTGCCAGACTTGTCTCAGTACCCCTGCACTCGGGTAGGTCACCCAGTACCTTAGTGTTCGAAATAAGCACCTACCCGTAGGCCAGTGGCAGGCAGATCTTGTGTCAGGCCCATAGCTTCAAACTTGGGTAATTTTAGCCTACAGTATATTTACTTAGGAAGGATAAGATATATGGATGAACAACTTCTTTATTATACCCCCAAAGTAATTTAGCAATGACAAAATCTCATTAAAATTAGATCCTAGTTCTCGCAATCGGGTCATGTCAGAACGACCTTTCACGCAACCAATCAAACTGTCGCTTACCAGATCATGAAAGTGACAGCCAGAATGTGTTTTCTTATCATGCAACTAGGGCTGGGATGGGTAACTCTGGTACTCTGGTCGGGTGTGATATATTGTTTAATGACAAAAACATTGCACACATTCCTTTGACTTGTATATGTTTGAGTGAAGGTGAAGCTTCAGTGTAAGCATGATCTGATCGTTTGATACATGTATCTAAATACTTTTTGCCAGGGCTGCGGTAAAACAATTCCGAATCAGACATCTTGTTCCCAACGCTTGAGATTTTCAGTGGGTACCAGGGTTGGGTTGGGTAATAGGGGTTCGGGTACCCGGGTAGTAAATTTGGACTCGTCCTAGCCCTTCATGCAACCTCAAAAACGTTAACACGGGGTATTCCACACAACAATAAAATCGCAACCATATGCTAGACATTCTGGATTTTTCCATGTTCAGTTTTCAAAATTTTAATCGAGATCTGTGTCAATATATATTTAAAGCGTAGTCTGAAATGGAAGTCGCCAAGTTAAAATGAGTGCCATAAAGCTCGAGAAAGCTGCTTTCTAATTGACTGATATTGACTTCTTGTTAGTCGTTTCAGTGGTTGGTCAAAGTTGGTGAAAGGTCATTCTGATATGACCTGTAATGGGATGTCCTCAGATCTTTGTTTAGCGGCAGCGAGAACTTAAATCTGATTTTAATGAAATTGGCATTGCCAAGAGTTTAATACAACTCATTCTATTTATTTAAGAAATAAACGACAAGTGGTTTATCGTACAACAAAACACTGCAGGGAGAATAAACCATGAGAGGGTGCATATGAGATATCAATATTATGTACAGCCTCTTTCAGGTTGTTACTAAAATGTATGAGCTTTAAAACTATTTACCTGTATTTAAATAACGATTACTCTCCGAATAGAATCCAACCTCAGCAGTGTTGGAAAAGTCCATTTTACAGAGGGGTTATTAGTTGGATTCACGGATATTCTCACACTTTTCACGTTGATTAGCTGTACCTATTCTCCCAATACCGATTGTCATATCTCTCCCATTTTTGGATGCGATCATTCGGCCGTTGTGTTAATCTACATTGCCCAGGTACATCAATGGGGAACAATTCACTTGACACGTCTCAAAAATAACGTCATTCAATTTATTACATCATCAAGTTGCAAGCCCATGTTTGAATCTCCAGAAATTACGTCAGGATACAACTATGTTTTAACGTGAAATAAACCACACTTCTTTCTTCATTGTTCTTTGTGATTTACTGGGATGCTATCTTGTATGACATGGGAGCCACTGAGACTAAATCAATATCCCATTGTACACATCTAACTGTGGTTTTAGTTTATTGATAAAACACATCCCATTTTAATCTGGAAAACCATTGATGTGGCCAGTCTCTGTCAAAGGTATTTACAAAATTGAACTTGTTGTTCTCATGGGTACATATAAAAAAGAAAAAATGTACAAAAAAATCAAGTGAAAACTCAAAATATAAACTATGTTGCCCATAGGCCTGTCCATTGGCGAAGAGTGGTCTGTGGGCCTGCATAGAAATACATAAAGGTTTGTCTACAAGCATCATGCGCATGATTCAACTCATTTTAACTTAATTCAACTAATTTGTGGCCTTATTAAAATATTTCACCCAAGGGCGAGAATATTTTCCTTTGCTCAAAACTCATGTTTTTCTCTTTTGCAAATACATAAAGGTTTGTCGACAAGCATCAGGACACATGATTCAACTCATTTTAACCTAAACCAATTGATTTATGGCGGTATTAAAATATTTTACGCATGTTTTGGTCAGTCACTTTATAGCATTAACTTATTGTGTGCAAAGTATTTTGTATCATGTGAAATATGCTTTATATTATATCATTACTATTTAAAATGGGCCTTTGGTTGGATGTTACTTTTATAAAAGTTTTACAAGTTTTACCTTTTGTACATATTGTAACGATCTTTAATGAACCCGGCCTCATCTCTCAAAAATATTTATAGTTTATCATACGAATTCATGCGTCTGTACTCCAATTCAATTCATCCACAACACTAAAGTTTAGTTGGTTTCTTTCTCTTTTCCGATTTTATGTCGCGTTGTTTCACTTCTATTTGTTACATTGTTCATGATGACTTGCAAAGATGAGGCCACAGAGCAGAAGAACCCGGCCTGCTGCATCTTTGGTCTTGTGTATTGAAGTAAAATATAAATGCCTACGCTTTTAAGAGAATTTTGCATTCCATATATGTTCCATTAATCACACTGGGAAATTAAGTGACACTAGGTGTGTGATATACAGGTACACGTGCGCATATTTTAAAGAAAAAAACCTGATTCGTCTTTCATTGCATAACGTCTGACTGAATATCTAGCATTCTAATGAAATCTCGAAATAATTATTTTCTTACATGCAGTGTCGAAATTACCAATGGGATTTGTTTGAAGCAGATTGAGGAAAACTTGAGTGAATATTGTGACATAAAAAAACTTTTAAATGCATTGCCATTTTTTCTATGAAAAAATGCAAACAGTCGAGAAAAAATCAACAGCCTTCTTATGATAATTTCCATATTCTCATTAGTATGTTCTATCTAATAACAGTGTCAGCCTTATTTACAGGTGAATCTACAATACCTGCTCTCGGTCAATTACAATCTGCCACACTACGCGTGAATAAACAGTTATATGCATGTGTTGCTGTGGGCAAATACCTAGCCTGTATATATATTTCTGTAGATACATGTATTACATATTTTTGTTTATTGTGGATATATTAAGCACAAAGACACAAAAGGTTTATGAAAGATGAATTGGTGCCTTGATGTATTCAACAAGAACGAATCTTGTATTTTCTCTGCAATCCTGATATGCATAATCGTTTAATGGGCCATTAAAAAAAGTATGTTTGGAAGCGATATCAAAGGCGCCACCCAATAGATACAATGTCGTCCGTTTTGTGTGAACTACCACCCCATCCTGCCAGTAAGAGTTATGTAATCAGTACACAAATAACTTTGATGTGGTGTCAGTGTGGAAGGGGTTTGAATTACTTCCGCCACTGGCCAATCAACAAGGCCAATGCCGTTCAAATAACCTAGTGACGCACGTAACAATGGCTGTCAATCTGTCTGCTACAGCTACCATATCATCATTCCTGTCACAACTGGTGTTTAACTGGTTTTTCAAAATATCAATTGTCAAAACATTGTTAACAGACTGATGTATGTCATATACAGTCCTCTTATTTGAAAAAAAACAAACAACAGTTAGTACGTCAACTGGAAAATGAAATGGATGTTACATTTCTTATATCAGCTAAAGGCCGTTTGTGAAAATATGAACAAGACATAAGATTTAAAGACTAATAAAATCAATTTTAAGACCGCATAGACAATAAAACTGAGTCAAATATGTCTTGGTATCATCTCTTGTGTATTAGATGATGGTAATGATCTGAAATGTTATAATGTTAGATTAGGAAGGAGAAACATTAAAGTGTTTTATAATACTTGGGAACATGAGCAATAAGATGTAGCAACATAAACATGCATAAAATGGTATAGGGAAAATGGTGAATACAAATTGAAATAGATTTAAAAAAAATATTACTGTACTAAACAACTTGCCTCAGCACAAGCGGTTCCCAAAATTGTTTGACCGTATTTTGTGTGTTGTAGACTGATGAATAGCAAGTAATTGTCATGCTATATGCATGCTTCCATATTCAAATACAGATATACAAGTGGGATGAAGCTGAATACTGAGATGCCAAGCATTAAAATATATATAACCTGCATTTACACATGAAAGTAATATAATTCTTGTTTGTATGCCATCTCCTCTGAAAAATGTATCACTAAAGTATTTACATTGTAACAAATATAGTAATGAATAAAACTTGGTAATTTGGTGTGTCTCCGATAGATATGATTTTTTTTTTTTCATGGCTTTGATTAATAGGGATTATGTACATGTCGTCACTTTCTCTAATGAATCTGCGAATTAGAAATTTCAAATGTCATTTTAGCACTATTGCTAAAATAAGGCAATTTCTTTCAACGGATATAAATACTGTAAATCTTGAAATTAACGCGAGCGTGAATTTAATGCGAAAAATGCGAGTGGTCTTTGCTCGCATTATTAAACATCGCATTTATATCAACAATAAGACATTTTGGATAGCATAAATACCAACTTAGACATACGCTGAAAACAAACAACTATATGTATTCCACATCAATGTTTATTGAGCAGCACTTGTAACAAGTACATAAACAATGTCATTCAAACACTAATTACATCCTGTGAATTGATACTGCTGGGGTGAAGACAAGCGTTCTACTTACTCATGTCATCACTTATCACACCTGCAAGTCCAGACAGATGCCACCCAACACGGTGTCTTTGCTCTTTGCGACTGCATTAAAGGCCGACACGAGCCAGCGCGCACGTATTACTTTAGCTGAAGTACTCTACTCAGCGCTTATAAGCGGTGCTATTTGGTGTGTGATTGGATTAATATAAGGTTGGATTAAGGTGAGGATTCTCCTGTAAACCTGAGGATTCTCCTGTAAACCTGACAAAGGACGTTTTGTTTAGATATAAATCCCCTGATGCTTGAGAGGAAGGGGTGTTGCATTCATATTGAGTCGCATTCTTTGGCTAGGGGCCAGCAGTCGCTTTCTTTTGGAGATGCATTAATTTCACGATTTACAGTAGTTGATTCTTCCAGTCACGGAGTCATTTTTACTTAATCGAATGATTTCCGCGAAACATTCCGGCAGAGAGGTATTTTTTGTATTTTATTAAATACATGTATTGTTAATTGAAGATGATACTTACATCACTGTTTCTCAGAATGCAGAGCTGATATCATTCATACATGTAATAGTACACAGAGAATTGTTACATATGATTGTTGCATATTCCTTTTTGAACAAAAAGCCAACATGTACACTGTAATCGGTGTCCACTGTTATAAGGGTAAAAGCCATGGTAAATGGAGAGACAATAATAAGGTGATTCATTATAGTCTGTTTCGGAATATGCGATTTAAGTGTATTGATTTATACATGTACACATTACACATGTACAGATGAAATACTCGATAACATACAGTGCAAAAACAAATTAAGATATGTTTTCTATTAAAAATAATTATATGAATATGGTTATGGATTTAATTAACATTTTTAATGATTACACACATCTTCAAATATCTCCCATCAAGTCAGCTCTATTTTTCATGCACAATTTAATTTATGACATTTTGAATGAATTGAATTAAAAAATCATATTTAACAAACCTACATATAACCAAATACAAACATTTATACACCCGTTCTACATTTCGTTCCAACTGAGCTCGGCATCAACTCGCTCGTGAAGGTCGAAGGTCGTATACGACTTTTAAGTGAATACATTTACAGTGTACATGTATATGTATAACTTTTAACTGTATCATATATATTCATGATAAGCAATTATTTCATTCCTTATTCAAATGAGCACATTCTGAGGCAAAATCTGCAAATTGACTGTCAAAATATTTCTTTGTACAATGCAAACGATACAAACATAGCGGCTGATAAAAGAGACAATTGAATAATCCATATATAATTTTTATTTGTTCTCGTTCAATCTATTGTACATTTTGAAGTCATTGTAAAGTTTCAAGGAGTTCCGTAATGGTGTGGTATTATGTATGAATTTAGAGTATGAATAGTGAAAAACGGTCACCATATGGGATGTACATCTATAGCTTGTCTTCCAACACTATGCTTGTGCCGAGGCCCGTGGTCATAAAACTAATTGGTCCCTTAAAAGGAGCAATTAGTTTAGCAGATATTCCGTTGTTCTTGCTATGGTTCACTCCCAATTATCAGACATCCCATTTGTCAAAAAACCCAATCATCAGACAGACCAGTCAAGTGTGACCAGTGTACCTGCCTGGTCTTAACTACTAATTACTGAGCTGCAGAGAAATCGTTCAATAATTTTGTGCTAAAATCTATTTCAATTTGTTTTCACCATTTTCCCATTACCCTCTTATGCATGTTTATGTTACTAAATGTTATTGCTCATGTTCCCAAGTATTTCAAAAAATTTATTGTTTCTCCTTCCTAATCTAACGTTATAACATTTCAGATCAATACCATCATCTAATACACAAGAGATGATACTAAGACATATTTGATTTGGTTTTATTGTCTATGTGGTCTTAAAATTGATTTTATTAGTCTTTAAATCTTATGTCTTATGTGGCAGATTGTAACTGAACGAGAGCATTTACTGGTATTGTAGACTCACCTGTAAATAAGGCCGACACTGTAATTATATACAATGTACCTGTGAGTATATGGGAATTATCATAAGGTTGTTGTTCTTTTCTGAACTGTTCCCATTTTTCATACTTAAATTGGCAATGCATTTAAAAGTTGCTTTCCTGTCACAATATTCACTAAATATTTTGTCAATCAGCTTCAGACATAATTCCCAATGGTCAGTTCGACACCACATAAAAGAAAATAATTATTTCAAGATTTCGTTAGAATGCTAGATATTCAGCTAGACGTTATGCAATGAAAGACGTATCAGGTTTTATTCATTTAATTTACTTTGTTTTAATTAAGTTTAAATGTCACAACACTAAAAACTGATGTCAAATTAAATTGCAGTGTTGTTTCCTGATTGAATCTGGTGGCGACATCACCAATTACTTGACTCTACTTTTGAATGAAGTTTGAATGCGACGGGAATGTCTTGTAGCAGAATGACTCCTCTCCTATCTCAGTACTGAGGAAGAAATATTTATACTTAAAACATTCTTCTGATGTAATTATGGCCTCGATTTTGAATGTAGATCTGAGATGGACTCATGAGAGGCATACTGATTTGGGTTTCGTGAGCAAGAGAAATTCTCTGTTGAATTGGTGACAAAGCTGGTGACATTAGGGCTGGGATGGGTTCCTCAGGTACCCGGGTCGGGTGGGTACTGAGTAGGACCCGGGTACCCACAGGACTACCCGGACCCGTGGTTAGTCACGTGATGTATTTGTAGCCGGGTGGTGGTGCTAACCTCTGAATGAGTTATAGCCACATAAGTACCACCCACTTATAACCCCCCTTAGATTCATTCTATACATATATACATACATGTTCATCTATTATCACCATCACTTCATTCTGTGTTCATTATATGTTCATTATATGTTGTCCTTGTCTGCAGTTGAATGTCAGCCAACTAACACCAACCTGATACCCTTCTGCAGCCTCTGTAATTTCTCCAGCTTCACCTGGACTTCCCCCTATCTATTTTTAGATGTGTCCACCACTTTATGTGACTGAAGCATCTTGACTTCCTTTTAATACCTGTCAGATGCTACCTTTCTTTTGATTGGCCCTTTGGTCCACTTCTTTAACTTCCTTTCTCACCTGCCCTCCTCATGCATTCTGCATGAACTCTTTATGGAGGGAGGACTCTTGTTTACAGGTGAGAAACATTTCAATATTCTTATCTCTTTCCATCCTGCTTTGGAAACAATTATATTCATAGAAAGGGTATCACAGCTTTTCATTAAAGTAAAATATATTTAATTGCATTATTATTTAATTTGTTATATCTAAATATTTGCCAGCTCACACATTTTGTGTTACAATAATTGAGCACATGGTCTTCAACCATGTGCTCCCCAACATATCCCTATAAATTAATCTGTTTCCTTTTGGCTTAAATTAGATTATAACATATTCTGCATGAACTCTTTATGGAGGGAGGACTCTTGTTTACAGCTTCCCTCCCACCATCTACTCCAAAAGAATAAATATCATCATCATCTTCAAGAACTGCCTCCTGTTTTCACTAGCAGCCCAGTGGCTGGACACATCACACCACGCCCGGCTACATATTGTTTAATGACAAAAAGTATCTAGAACTCTATGGTTACACTACAAGTCACAAATGTTCGCATTTCTTTCTGGCTATGCAGCCATTCCTTCTGACTTTTCATATCTTTGAATAAAGATATAACTTGAGTCAACTTCAGTGTATACATGACCAGATTGTTTAATACATGTATCTAAATATGTTTTGCCAGTGCTATGGTAAAAAAATGCCCAATCGGACATTTTGTACCTATCTCTTGAGACCTACAGTGGGTACCGGGGTAGGGTCGGGTAATAGGGGGATGGGTACCCGGGTAGTAAATTCGGACTTGTCCCAGCCCTAGGTGACATCACTTAAAAAAACAATGCTTGGGTTGTCAGTTGGGTCCAGGATACTTATCTTAAAAGAATGGAGATTTAATACACTTAATAATCAGGTGTTGAGGTGTAGCAGGGTGTGGTGTCATCGCACAGACGACACCTGTTCCTTGTCAGTTTGCTGATGGTATTCAGCAGTTCATTCTTGCTGTAAAGGGCGACTAGGCTTCTCTATGAGGGGACTAATGATTTCGCTGATGCATGTCATCATTTCCCAATTGCATGGTTGATGCTCATGATGTCAATCACTGGATTGTCTGGTCCAGATTTGATTATTTATAGACTGCAGTCATATAGCTGGAATATTGCTGAGTGCGGCATTAAACAACAAACAAACAAACTGTTTGTCTGATTGTGGTTTAACTCTTTCTGGACAAGGCGTCCAACCTTGGATCAGAAGGTTTGAATAACAGGACTTGACAATTTAATGGCATGAATGGTGCGATATTGATATCTTTGAAATTACAGGAAGGATCGATCGCCTTCCACACGGACATACGCTACAAGTACAACATCCAGTGTGCCATCGAGGTGATTCAGGGTCACCTTCATCTTCGCATCAGTACCCAGGTGTACAACACGCTGGAGGAGTACAAGCGCCTGGCTGATTGTCTCCTAGAAGTCATCCAAGCTGACAAGAAAAATTAAGTTTCATCAGAGCATCTTGAGGATGAAAAATGAAAGCCCCTGGTTCTAAGTTAGTGGTTTGGGTAAAATGGTTTCAAAGGGTTTTGCACCTGGTTGTTTAATGGATGAGGTATGATCAATTAGTCAAACAATCAATCAATCAATCTTTATTCAAATTACTGAGAAGTGCACACAGATTGACAAGGGATGTTAAGGTCCTTTTTTCGTCAAGCAAAACTGCTAAATTGTTAATATGATAAACAAGTTATGTTTATGTGAAAGTTACGATAAAGCATTCATACAATTGAAAAGGTTTTTTGTCTGTTGTACTTACATGTTTTGTACTTACAGGAACACAAAACACGGAAGCGATTCTGAAATGTCACAAAAAGGCTGACTTGATGTGTTTTCAAAAGAGAGGTTTTTTTGCACGTAATACACAAAATAGCATTTCTCACAAAACTTGTAGCAGGTGCATATTAGACATAAATGTGCATTTTCAAAAATACAATATAGTAAATATACGCAGGTAATTTTACGGATGAAGTTAGGGATGAAGTTTGGGATGAAGTGAGGGATGAAGTTTGGGATGAAGTTTGGGATGAAGTGAGGGATGTCGTTTGGGATGAAGATCGGGATGAAGTTAGGGATTAAGTTTGGGATGACGTTTGGGTTGAAGTTTGGGATGACATTGGGGATGAAGTTATGGATGACATTTGGGATGAAATTTGGGGATGAGGTTAGGGATGAAATTTGGGATGAAGTTTGGGGATGACGTAAGGGATGAAGTTAGGGATGACGTTGGGGATGAAGTTTTGGATGAAGTTAGGGATGACGTTGGGGATGAAGTTAGGGATGAAGTTGGGGATGAAGTCGGCGATGACGTTGGGGATGACGTTAGGGACGAAGTCAGGGATGTCGTTGGGGATGAAGTTTTGGGATGAAATTTGGGATGACGTTGGGGATGAAGTTAGGGATTAAGTTTGGGATGAAGTTCGGGATTAAGTTTGGGATGAAGTTTGGGGATGACGTTGGGGATGAAGTTCGGGATTAAGTTTGGGATGAAGTTTGGGGATGACGTTGGGGATGAAGTTAGGGATGAAGTTTTGGGATGAAGTTTGGGATGACGTTAGGGATGAAGTTAGGGATGAAGTTTGGGGATGAAGTTTAGGATGACGTTGGGGATGAAGTTTTGGGATGAAGTTTGGGATGACGTTGGGGATGACGTTAGGGATGAAGTTAGGGATGACGTTGGGGATGAAGTTTGGGATGACGTTAGGGATGACGTTAGGGATGACGTTAGGGATGAAGTTTGGGATGAAGTCGGGGATGACGTTGGGGATGAAGTTAGGGATGAAGTTAGGGATGAAGTTAGGGATGACATTAGGGATGATGTTTGGGATGAAGTTTGGGGATGAAGTTAGGGACAGTACAGACATCATGATAACTCTCTTAGTCCTAGTTTCTCCCTTCAAGGTAAATAAATCTTTCTTTTCACTCGATCACTTTGGTGAAACTTCAGGACTTGATCATGATATAAGTATTCAGAACAAGTGATACAACATTGGCATAACATGAAAATAAATTTGACGAAATTAGTCTTTTTAATCAATTGACCTTTTGGGCTGAAAGCAGAAATAATATATTGATCCATGTTTATATGAGTCAAAACTGGCATCATACGAGAATGAAGCTTTATTGCTTTAAGTAACTGTAACTCATACTTACTTGAGGAAGCTAATCCCAAAACTCATGATGTCAATCACAGGATTTTCTGGTCCAGACCTGATTATTTACATACCGGTACTGCTGTCATATGTACATAGCTGTAATATTGAGGAGTGTGGCTTTTAACAACAAACAAATTTTGACACTCGTGTATAAGAATTTTGCGTTAATTTCATGCCCATATATATTTCATGATTTACAGTACTTCACAAGCAAAATGTTATTAGGAGTTTGCAGTATCAATTGTCCCAGATTATGAAATTGTGTTACGGCATGAAGAGATTTTAATGCCATAAAAAGTTGTGTTTCTTTCTTTGTTGTTTTTCTTTCTTTTTTAGGGGCAGGTATTTCATAATGTCATGGATATAGAGAAGCAGACTGTATATTACCGTACATTACTATGAGTGGCCTTACTTCATAATGTCGACAGGAGTGGATTTGTATCAAGGAATGGCAGGGATGTATTCTCAGGAGGGCTGGGATGGGTAGCTCGGGTACTTGGGTCGGATGGGTCCTGATTAGGACCCGGGTAGTCCTGTCAGTACCCGGACCCGTGGTTAGTCACATGATATATTGTTTAATGACAATAATAATAAAAATTCCATGGTTACACAAGTACTTGTTGCTAACGTTCGCATTTCTTTCTGACTTTGCGAACATTCCTGAATTTATATGTTTGAGTAAATGAATTTATATGTTTGAATAAATACAAAGCTTTGACAGTCAACTTCAGTGTATGCACGATCAGATCATTTTATGCTATATCTAAATACTTTCTGCCAGGGCTCTGGTAAAACAATTCCCATCTGAACATTTTGTACCCAACTTGAGACCTACTCATCCCAGCCCCAATTCTAAGGCAACGATTATACCTCTTAATGTTGTTTGACAAATGCATTTATTCACCAGTACTCGGAGTATATGCAATTTTCAAGTCATAACTTTTTATTCATACTGAAAATGTTTGCCATGTTTATACCTTGGACGGCAGGGATGTATCTATGTTAAATGTTTACCTATTAATCATTGTTCTTCTTAATCATCATATGTTTACTGGTAGTATGGAAAATTTCTTGTTCCCATGTTAATATTTTAAATGGCATGAATATAATTAAGTTCATTCAATTTTGTTGTTTAGTTGTTGAATTTTTTAAACCCAAGTCATTTTCCTTATTGTATATAGTGCATACCATGAATTCGTACGAATAGATTTATTGTTTAGCTTTATGAAGAGTCAACCGTAAGTTATGCAAAAGTGTGAAAACAATAAAACTATGGTTTCATTGAACATGTGCTTCTTATCCCCCCCTTTTTGAAAAACGGGGGATAAAGCGATCTGTATGTCCATCCAACCATCTGCCCTCCATCTATTTTTCATTTTCCATTTCTGGAGCAGAACTATACCTCAATTGGATAATGTGAATTTGTTTTATTTATCTTAATCTAGGCATATTGCAAAGAAAATTCATAAACTAGAATTTATCTTATCTGTATGAGTATGTATTTTTGCCTTTATGAAATAATGAAGAGGCTTTCTTTCTCTTATGATGATGATGAGGCAGAGGAGGAGGAGGAGGAGGATATACTGAATTCTGTTCTATAGTGCCAGATTCCTTTATTTTTTTGCCTTTATGAAATAATGAAGAGGCTTTCTTTTTCTTATGATGATGATGAGGCGGAGGAGGAGGAGGATATACTGAATTCTGTTCTATAGTGCCAGATTCCTTTATTTTTTTGCCTTATTGAAATAATGGAGAGGCTTTCCTTTCCTTATAATAATGTGCTACAACATTATTACTACCCTGGTGAATGAATGAGGGTGCTCTTAAACGTCATTCTCAGCTCCCTATTAAAGTACCGGGCTAGTGCAAATTTTAAACCCCTGCACTTAAAGCAATGTCTTCACATGTAAGCAGGAGAGCAGATAATCAAGCAATATCAGTTAATTACCGGTATGTGAAAATGTGTATCAGTGACAGCCTTGCCAAGTTGCAGACATAGTTGAGAAAATCTACACAATACAGTAAACTACGGTTATAACGAACACGCTTATAACGAACTGATCAATATAACGAACTTACTTGTGAGCCCCGGCCATGTGTTGCATATATGCTGTATGTATGCTTATAACAAACTACGGTTATTACAAACTAAAATGGGTGGTCCCTTTGAGTTCGGTATAACCGTAGTTTACTGTACTTAATTACAAGTTAGTTTGTACAGTTTTGACTGATAGATGTGACTAATAAAGGGCTTCTTACATTATTGTGTCCAATTCTTTACATTGTCGGTATTATTGTGAGTGAGTGAGTGAATGATGTTCAGAACTGCAGCCAGTAAGAATCTGGTAATATTCCTGTGTCCTGTATATAGTCTATGCATAGTCCAATCAAACTCGCGTAATGAAATCGAAATCCGGTTCGTAAACTGTCGTGCAGATTTCAGTCGATTGCAGGATTTGCAAAGCATGTGTACCGTCAACTGGGTCTCAGCAGATATTTACCAAATCTTTTCATGTTTTTAATCAGCGTGCTCATGTTATTCGATGCCCTTTGTGATGTAAGACCCGTTTTATCACAATATAGATCTTGATTATTGATCAGATCGTCTTGACTGGGCACGGGAAGATGATCTAGACCTAGAGAATACCTGGTAGGGCCAAGGGAATGCCAGGTTGGTCGTACCAGAGAATACCTTGTGGTACCTAAAGAATACTTGGGTGCACCTAAATAATACCTGGTCGTACCTATAGAATACCTGGCACTACTCAGGGAATACCTGGTTGTGCCTAGAGAATACTTTGTTGTACCTAGAGAATACCTGGTTGTACCTTGAGCATACCTGGTTGTACCTAGAGAATATCTATTTGTACCTGGAGAGCACCTGGTTGTACCTAGAGAATACCGGGTTATACCCAAAGAATACCTGGTTGTACCTAGAGCTTACCTGGTTGTACCTAGAGAACACCTGTTGGTACCTAGAGAATACCTGGTTGTACCAAGAGAATACCTGGTTGTACCTTGAGCATACCTGGTTGTACCTAGAGAATATCTATTTGTACCTAGAGAACACCTGGTTGTACCTAGAGAATACCGGGTTATACCCAAAGAATACCTGGTTGTACCTAGAGCTTACCTGGTTGTACCTAGAGAACACCTGTTGGTACCTAGAGAATACCTGGTTGTACCAAGAGAATACCTGGTTGTACCAAGAGAATACCTGGTTGTACCTTGAGCATACCTGGTTGTACCTAGAGAATATCTATTTGTACCTAGAGAATACCTGGTTGTACCTAGAGCTTACCTTGTTGTACCTAGAGCTTTCCTGGTTGTACCTAGAGAATACCTGGTTGTACCTAGAGAATACTTGGTCGTACTTAGGGAATACTTGGTTGTACCTAGAGAATACTTGGTCGTACCTAGAGAATACCTGGTTGTACCAAGAGAATACCTGGTTGTACCTAGAGCATACCTGGTTGTACCTAGAGAATATCTGGTTGCACCTTGAGTATACCTGGTTGCACAATGAGAATACTTTGTACACAGAGCATGTTGTACCTAGAGAATATCTGGTTGCACCTTGAGAATACTTTGTACCCAGAGAATACGTGGTTGTACCTAGTGAATACTTGGTTGTACCTAGAAAATATCTGGTTGTACCTAGAGAATACTTGGTTGTACCTCAGGAACACCTGACTCTACCTTGGGAGTACAATGACTGTGTCTAGGGTTTGTCTGGTTGTATCCCCATGGTAACTAGTTATACCTGGGACATATATGGATGTATGTACACCTGTCAAAGCGATTCCTCATCAAGTCCTGACATAACACTGCTAATATCAGTGGCTACATGAACTGCGGAAGTTCTCTCCTCCATGTCGACTTTCATGTGGACTGGTGATGTGTTCGTTGCTATATATCAAATGGTGGTTGAGAAAATATAGCATGTGTGATCTCAATAACACCGAAGGGCAAGTTGAACTATACTCCTCACAAAAAGTTAAGCAACAAATCTATTATGTGTCAGTCCATGTTCATATATTCCAATACCTAAAAACTGACTAAAGCAATACAAAGAAAGAGCACAAACACACGTTGTCCTCAAAGGGAAAAATGTGCTGCACTGAAAGATGAAAAGATGTACCATTCCAACAATCTGAGCAACCTCAGATGGCGTTAAGTGACGCCTAGCCATGTCTAAAGTGTTAATGTTGACAAATTGCCCTTGCTGGCAGTTTTTAAGCGATCAGGGTGCATGGGTGAAGTGTGTAAAACATGCATGTCGTGCATTTTGCATGTGTGTTTTGAGGGGGGTTGTGTTCAGGCGATGTTATCAGTGTTATCAGGAAAATCTACATGGAAAAGGCTTTAAGTCGAGTATTCGTTGGTAATTCTGCCTGAATTTGTTCTCAATGGATGGCATTCAACACTGATGAGAATGTTGCAGGGAAAATAATACTTGTTGCTTAACTTTTTGTGAGGAGTATACATACACCAAGACAGATGGGGTGGGATGGCTGGGTGATGACTGCACGATCCCATCAATGAGTCTTTGAATGTTGCCTAACTCCTAGTCAGCAATGCCCCATCAAAACTGCCAAGCAAAAGAATGTATACACTTAAAAACTGGATTTAGGTGAGGTGAAATGGGGTTTAACGTCGCGTCCAAGATTATTGCACTTATATAGGGACGTGCATGCACGTGTGTGTGTGTGTGTGTGGCTGCTTGTACTAGTCCGGACTGATGCCGATTTATAGTGCTAGCTCACTGAGATACCATGCCGCAGTTTAACATGAATACCCCACTCAGACACAGTATACTGACTCCGAGCCGACCAGTCCTTGTTTTAGCCACTTAATGCCGAGCGCCAGACAGGGTAACAACAAGTACCATCTTTTAACGTCTTTTGGTATGACGCGGCCGGGGATCGAACCCCGGACCTTCCGCTCTCCGGGCGGACGCTCTACCACAAGACCACGGAGGCGGAAAAACTGGATTTAAGCAAAAACATTCAATTGTTATCAAAACGTTACTACGCTAAAAACAGTTGCCGAAACACTGCAAACATAGCCTTGATACCCGCATCAAATACATACATACAAATTACTATTTCTCGGTTTGTTTCATTTTAAGCCACCATCAAACATGGGTGAATACTTTCTTTTGCCCGGCAGTTTATAAGCATCGACCTTTGTAAATATTCGAGCGTCGCTTGGCAGACAAGTGGTTGGCTGTAAGAGCTGGGAGATCCACGTCATTAGGTTCCACGTTGGGCCATCTAATCCTTATTTGTCAGTTCTGATGACAGACGGGAGCACGGGTGGCCCAGTCGTCTTAGGCGACGCGATTCGCTCACTGTGGAGAGTTGTGTCCCTTGGGCACGCCAGAAACCTATGATTGTGGGTTCGAATTCCGGTTCGCCCCGATTGGGTTTCTAGGTTTGTCAGCACCATACCCGTGCTCATGGGTTTCACCGAAGTGGTAAACGTCTCAGACCTGCATCACTTCGGGCTTTCCTCCCACATTAAGCTGACACGCCGCGAAATAACTGTAATACTATTAAAAGCGGTGTTAAACCCAACTCACTCACTCACTCACTTGCTCTTATGACTGACACGGGGCATCTGTTCTGACATGGAATCTCCACAGCACTATCCACGGAATAACCCACTTATACGATTATTTTCTGCTAGAGATCAGTAAAAATTAACATATATCTGTATTCCACGATTATTTTATTTAGGGATTTCCAACAAGAAACAAGACACTATGTACAATTTGATAACACAGGTAGTGATTCGACAACTCGCATGTACATTGCAGATCAGAATGCGATAACACCTTATAATCATCCGCTCGTGTACATAGAACCGTGAAGATTCCGGGGTAGAATAGGTCTTCAGCAACCCATGCTTGCCGTAAAAGGTGACTAACGGGATCGGGTGGTCAGGCTCGCTGACTTGGTTGATGCATGTCATCGATCCATCGATCATGATATTAATCACTGGATTGTCTGGTCCAGACTCGATTATTTACAGACCGCCGTCATATAGCTGGAATATTGCTGAGTGCGGCGTTAAACAACAAACCAACCAACGAACGTGATCAAGTGGTTACTGACATTGACAGACAGGGTAAGGAAAGTAAACACTGTACACTAACACTGCATTTCACAGACTAAGTAGTCGAGGAAGGAGCAATCCAGTGGTCCATACCATGAGCAACGATCCACAAAATTCACATTTGTGTCGGCTTTTGCGACAACCGTACAACCGTTGCAGTTTAGGCTGTCTCGTATCAGATCATCCATGACAACAACACAAAAATCCACAATATGAACTATTTTAACAGGATTTCAAATATGCGTAAACATGCCATGTTTGGAAATTAGATGAATGTTCATTTAATAATTGACACAATCATATAAACAGTAATGTTAGTTTGGTTCTGTCCAAACATTGGTAATATTGTGGTCATGCTCTAAAATATATATAGGCAATATCTCTCTACAAATGTCCATGCATGAATATATAAAAACACTGTATGGAAAAAAACTCGAAATACCATTGTGTATTATCAGTGGTCGGAACGGTAACCCTGCACGCTCACTGAAATAACCTTTATCATATACACAATGTATTTAACAATATATTACTATTCATAAATAAAACTAATAAGCAACATATTTCAGCACCGCCATATTAAACGCAACCACACGACACGCTTCGTTCTCTATCAATACGTCACATCTCGCAAATAAATTCAATTATTTGCAGGTTAAACGACCCACACCATAATTGTGATGTATAGATGCTGGGGTTATCATATGGAGTGTAATATTCAATGTGTCAATATTAGTCTTATAAAAAACATTTAACACAAAAAGGATGATTTAAAAAAAAACAGCTTTTAATTTCGTTCCCTTGGTTATATTAATCGAAATTAGAAAACAAAATTTGTGAAAAACAACTTACCTCGAAGTAGTGTAGCATGTCACATGTACATAGGTTGTCGTGACTAAATGTATCGCTCTTGTATTTCACTTTGGCTATGCATCTATATGAATTATTTATGGATATACTCACTGCATGCTGGAGACAATAATTTTGATGCCCCACATTTGAATTACAGTATATGCATGCACATCACATAAATACAAGTAATACGAAATGAATGAGATAGAGAATAATATATATAACGATCGTGATGAACATAACTATATCGGCCTATTTTGCTCCTGTGGTGATTCTAGTGCAGCATACCCAATGCCGACCGTCATGAGAGTCTATTTGACCTGGCTTGATTGTGTGTCATCATGACCCAAGTGGTCGGGGTACGCTGATGCCACACAATCTAGCCAGGTTGTGTGTCTTCATCGTACCCCGATTGCCCGTTTGTGTGTCATCACCGTGTCCCAACGGTTTGTGTGTGTGTAATCATAGTGGTCCAACGGCTTGATTGTGTGTCATCAAAGTGTCCCAACGGTTTGTTTGTGTGTCATCAAAGTGTCACAAAGGTTTGTTTATGTGTCATCATAGTGTTCCAACGGTTTGTTTATGTGTCATCATAGTGTCCCAACGGCTTGTTTGTGTGTCATCATCGTGTCCCAACGGTTTGTTTGTGTGTCATCATAGTGTCCCAACGGTTTGTTTGTGTGTCATCATCGTGTTCCAACGGTTTGTTTATGTGTCATCATAGTGTCCCAACGGCTTGTTTGTGTGTCATCATAGTGTTCCAACGGTTTGTTTGTGTGTCATCATAGTGTCCCAACGGGTTGTTTGTGTGTCATCATCGTGTCCCAACGGCTTGATTGTGTGTCATCATCGTGTCCCAACGGCTTGTTTGTGTGTCATCATAGTGTCCCAACGGCTTGATTGTGTGTCATCATAGTGTCCCAACGGCTTGATTGTGTGTCATAATAGTGTCCCAACGGCTTGTTTGTGTGTCATCATAGTGTCCCAACGGCTTGATTGTGTGTCATCATCGTGTCCCAACGGCTTGATTGTGTGTCATCATCGTGTCCCAAAGGTTTTGTTTGTGTGTCATCATCGTGTCCCAACGGCTTGATTGTGTGTCATCATAGTGTTCCAACGGCTTGATTGTGTGTCATCATAGTGTCTTAACGGTTTGTTTGTGTGTCATCATCGTGTCGTAAAGGTTTTGTTTGTGTGTCATCATCGTGTCCCAACGGCTTGATTGTGTGTCATCATCGTGTCCCAACGGTTTGTTTGTGTGTCATCATCGTGTCCCCAAGGTTTGTTTGTGTGTCATCATCGTGTCCCCAAGGTTGCTTGATTGTGTATCATCGTGGCCTGGTGGCTTGATTGTGTGTCATCGTGCCCCGGTGGCTTGATTGTGTGTCATCATAGTGTCCCAATGGCTTGATTGTGTGTCAACGTGCACCGGTGGCTTGATTGTGTGTCATCGTGCCTCGGTGGCTTGATTGTGTGTCATCGTGCCCCGGTGGCTTGATTGTGTGTCATCATAGTGTCCCAATGGCTTGATTGTGTGTCATCGTGCACCGGTGGCTTGATTGTGTGTCATCGTGCCCCGGTGGCTTGATTGTGTGTCATCATGCCCCGGTGGCTTGATTGTGTGTCATCATAGTGTCCCAATGGCTTGATTGTGTGTCATCATGCCCCGGTGGCTTGATTGTGTGTCATCATGCCCCGATGGCTTGATTGTGTGTCATCATGCCTCGGTGGCTTGATTGTGTGTCATCGTGCCCCGGTGGCTTGATTGTGTGTCATCGTGCCCCGGTGGCTTGATTGTGTACCCCCAATGTGCCCGACGGATTGATTGTCTGTCCCCAAGGTTCCTCCATGTCCCAACTTCTGGTGTTTCTAGATCTGGTTCAGACTCACTGATTTGATATATATACTCAACAACAAAAGTTCCTGCGACACCAATATTTTAGTGTATTTTTCAAACAAGTAAAGTTTGGTTTTCAATACTGTAGTACATGTATGGAATCAAGTCACTAAAACGCAACTGCTACAGAAAAGCATGCATTCCATGCAAAAGTTGACTTTTATGCAAGCCCCATGCATTTCACTACCCAAGAATGGGTATAAAAACATGTGCGTTAACGGAATTCCATATGCATTGTTTAGCATCGTGCTGACAACAACCACTCAGAAAAAAACCAAAATTACGCAAATTTTCAACATTACGAAATGCCACGCCTGTCCGAAAATGAGCGTCTGTGAGCCATTGGTATGCTTGAAGCAGGATCGAGTCAACGTGATGTTGCAAGACAATTTAACGTCCAAAGAAACACCATTTGGTGTTTATGGCAACGTTAGCAACAGACGAATGCAGTCAGAGACCATCCTCGGAGTGACAGGCCACGCGTAACCAATAATCGACAAGACAACTGGATTCGAACAACACACCTACGAAATCGATTCCAGACAGCAACAGTGAATGCAAGAAGTATCCCTGGCCTTCGACGAATCTCTTCACAAACCGTACGTCGTCGCCTCAGCAGTGCAGGGATTGTCGCCAGAAGACCCACCAGACGTCCCATTTTGACAGGAAACCACCGTCAAGCACGTCTACAGTGGTGCAGACAGCGTCTATGCTGGACGGCCATGCAGTGGGGACAACTTCTATTCACTGACGAGTCTCGTTTTCACCTCAGCCACAGCGATGGACAGATTCGAGTGTACCGACGTCGAGGTGAACGTTACGTCAATCATTGTGTCATGGAAGAAGATCGGTTCGGGGGCGGCAGTGTTATTGTATGGGGTGGGATTACAGCAAGACAGCTAGAGGACCCGTTTGATGGTGGTAGAGGGAAATCTCGATGGACAGCCCTGTTGTTCTACCGTTTTTGCGTCGTCGTGGCCCAGGCATTACCTTTCAACATGACAACGCCCGGCCTCATATTGCTCGACTTGTAATGTCATTCCCTGCCCGGCTCGCTCCCCTGATCTCTCACCAATCGAGCACATGTGGGATGAGATGGATCGGCGCCTTCGAAGTCAACCACGTGATCCACAGACACTCCAGGAACTTCGAAACATGCTCCAGCAGATATGGACAGATATCCCACAGGACCTTGTGCGACGCCTAGTCCATTCTATGAGACGAAGATGTGTTGCCTGCATCGCAACCAGAGGTGGACACACACGCTATTGATTTGTAAATTGACATTTTGGCATGTTCATGGTTTTTTTTAATGAAATCTTACATTTTCTGAAGTCAGTATGGCAAATTAAACCATTTGAACACTTACAGGAGTCTTTTATCTGTTGCAAACCGAAATTGTTTCAGATTTGGTAACTTTGCATTAAATCTTATTCAATGTCACAGGAACTTTTGTTGTTCAGTATAGTAGGAATATTGCAGGCGACAGTTGACTCACTCACCGAATCTGACTGATAATTCAGATCTTCAGTTAAAAATTAATAATGCCACCATGACCCGCGCGAGGAAATATCAAACACGGCCATTCAAAGAACGTTTACAAGAACATACAGCACATTAAGATTACCACATTACGTTTGGTCAAAATTGTTGTGCATCTGAAACCAGGGCCCACATGCACAAAGCGATCTCAGCGCTAAGACTATCGTACGCCAGTGTTAAAGTATGGGAGTTACGATCATCTTAGCGCTAAGGTCGCTTTGTGCAGTGGGCCCTGGTCTGGACATAAAGAAGGTTAAATCAGGTGACAAAATAGAAGGTCTAAGAACAAGCATAGTCGCCTCTCACAACAAGCATAGATTGCTGAATACCTATTCTACCCCGGATCTACACGGTATGTTTATGTCATGATATCTGGAACATGCGTAAACATGTCACGAATGTAATACTATAATGATCAGGGCCCCGTTCAACTAAGCGATCTCAGCCCTACGCCTGTCGTAAGTCGATGTTAAAGTATGAGAGTTACGATCATCTTAGCGCTAAGCTCGCTTTGTGTAACGGATCCAGTTGGTGTGCACCTATTTAATCACACATTTCAATAATGTCATATCATTTGTTTGTTTGATTGTTGTTTGACACCGCACTCAGAAATATTACAGCCATATGGCCGCTGTCTGTAAATAATCGAGTCTGGACAAGACAGTCCAGTGATTATTATCATGAGCATCGATCCACGCAGTTGGGATCGATGACATGCATCACCCGATCCCGTTAGTCGCCTCTTACGGCAAGCTTAGTCGCATGAGTTGAAATTTCAAGATATTAAGTTGAAATTTCAAGATATTAAGTTGAAATTTCAAGATACTATCTTGGAATACAAGATACTATCTTGAAATTTCAACTTAGTATCTTGCAATTTCAACTTCTGTATCTTGAAATTTCAACTTCTTGAAATAGAAGTATAGTATCTTGAAATTTCAACTTAGTATCTTGAAATTTCAACTGAGTATCTTGAAATTTCAAGATAGTATCGTGAAATTTCAACTCAGTATCTTGAAATTTTAAGATACTATCGAAAAAAGTTAAAAAAACAAATGGCCCTAAAAGGCTTCGGTACGTTTATGCTTTTGTGTTGTTTTTTTTTACCGTCGCTCTCCACAGAATTCAGTTGTATGATGACGGTCTGTAATTCCAGTGACTGACACCATGAGCAACCATCCACGCAATTGGGATACGATAACATGTAATCATGTGTATTTTGATGGCCGTTCCTGCATATATCAAATTGGAATATCAAACACTACAGAATTACATATGTAAATAGAGCAACACATAGCATTTTAATTGTGTTTTTTTAATTGAAACAATGATTATCGTCATTCATGAACAGATCAAAATAAAAACCTTACAAAAATAAACAAATCAGTCAAGCGCTGACAGTTTATCTAATCGAACCCGCCAATCGCTAATCTACCAATCAGAAAAGCGCGGTCCGTTGTGCTTCGGCGCTGACTTCCAGGAAGCACGAGGTCAAGTGTCATCGGTGTTATTAATTCAGGTATTTACGTTGGCCAGGGTTTCATTCTAAATATATTTTTGAAGTGTATCGATGTAACATTGCACTGTAAGTACATGACACATAGTGTCAGGCTAAGACAAGTCAACTTGGTCAAGTTTCATTCATTTATTACAGGTGTTCTCAGCTGGCTCTGTCGGAAGTGTTGACCTGCCGAGGCTGTCCTTCATGATCTTCATTGGATTCTAAAGGCTATATATTGTCGCAACAGTCAGTGATAGTAACTTTGTATGTGAGGATTCAGGTCGATTCTAAAACAATTCGGGGACCAGGTATGCTTGTCCGCTGCCACTGGTTGCTTGTCAAGTTTGAAGTCAGTGAGCCTGGCCATTCTTATTCGGTCCGGTTGAACTTCAAATTTGACAATCGACCAGTGGGAGTGATCAAGGCTCCATGTACAAACTCCGCATTCGATGCTCAGCGGGAGAGTGGAGGCTAGTCGCATTCGACGGCAAAAGGCTTGTCTAGGCCTACTGCAAGCACTGCACAGGAACTCGTAGCTGTCAAGCTAAGAATTGTCATCGACATTATCAGTTCCTTCAGTTGCCTCTGAAATTGATGTTCACGCTTATAAGATTTCAGTAAACAATTAAACTTAAATTAAAGTTTTAGAAATTAATGCACTCCCAAAACACTGTACTGACTCTGATGATATGTTGAAAAGTGATTTGCACTTGGCTTGGCTGAATGCCGTGATAGGATCTGACCGTAAATAAATATGTAGGGTCACTCCAAATCAATCAGGCCGCGGACTACCTAAACGAGCCTCCTGGTGGTAATGAATGCCGGGAATCAACCAAGCGCTAACGGTGAAGTGACACCAATACACAGGATATTCAAAGTCCTTTTACACGCGCTTCAGTGAGTTTGCCCACGCACGCGAAAAACCGGGTCCTGCAGTAGGAATTGAAAATCCACATCCCAAAGAGCCCAGCAAACAATTCTACGTTGTGACAACGTTGTGACAACGTTGACTTTTCGTTGCTACAACGTTGTGATGTTACGTTGTCACAACGTAATTCTGTAGACTCCCAGATTGGTTGCTACGACGTTGTGCGTAAACCAAAATACAACCAAATCAAGACGTTGTCACAACGTCCATTTTTTACGTCGCGACAACGTAGGTATCGCATACTGTTTACATATGGCGACACTACAGGCATTGCAGCACGTTGTTGCAATGTCCATGTAGATTAACGCCTGTTTTATTCCTCAATACCTCCCAGGCAGCCTGAAAAGTTTGTACCAATCTAGTTAAGACGTCAGGTACAAAGAAATACATTCTGCAAACTGAATTCACTTTAACCCTATCCATGAAACAGCAAGTCAATGAAATGCACTCTTTTTTGGCAGAGTTTGAAATACGGCCAAGATATAAATCTAAATGTTTTAAATTACATGTACAATTTGGTAATATAATATTCATTTTCCAAAACAATTTTCAAGGCTATGTGCAAATTGTTCACAAATGTTTCAACACAATTAAAAGATATTGGATTTTCCCACGAATTTGCAAATTAAAAACCATCAAACAATAAGCCCTGCACAAATTGAAACATTTAAATTTTCTTGGCCTTACCTCATACATTCAGCATTGAGAGCAACACTGTGACAAACAGAATAGTCTATGCATCTGATGTCCTAAGATCCATTAGGTAAACGAAATGACAATAGAATTCTGGTTGAGGTGACCTTTATTTATTTGTTAAATGACAAGTCAGAACATGGGCTGAGTTGCTGGGGAGCCTTTTCAGTCCTCAAATGAAAAGTCACAGGGATGATCTTCAACTGTATCCTCAGTCTCTCCTTATGCCTTGGTAACTGAATAAAAAATGACACAAATGTTATAAAATGGCAAGGCAAGGGACATATTTCTGACATAACAAAATAACGGTTGCATTCCCCAAAATAATGTTTTGATGTCTGATGTCAGTCTTTAAACAGTTAAAAACTGCTGAAAGTGCGAAGGCGCTGACACTAATACCATGATGCTCTTGGATCATACATAAGCAGAAAAGCTTTTAGCACTGAATCATTGGTGTAACTTTATACCCCCGCCCTTTTAGATTGTGGGTATAATTAAATAAGAATCATCTAAATTTTAATTCTTGAAGATGTTTGTATATATTATTGAATCAGACATACCTTTGTGTCAGTGATATGTACTTTAAACAAATACGCTCCCACAATACTGTTTTCTCCACCTGAAAGAAAAACAGAAACCACAAAGTATCACATTCTTAAATAAACCAGTACTGTATAGATAAATCCCATTTACTTAGACTAATAGAGTATGATGTAACTGATAGTAATATTGGCAAATAGTTTTATCAGTCAACAGATCAACTGTAGTTTTTCAAAAGCAGTAACTTTACCTTTCTGCTGTACACTCAAACTAGTGATTCAAGTGGATATCATGGCCAAGTTTCTAAAACCTTATTTGAAAAATATGTACATAAATGAAAAATATATATTGCCAAATAAAATAAATAGTTCCCATATTTGAAGCAAGAATGTTGAATATGAATTATGAATTGGCCCACCAATAAGTGATAAAAGTGTTAACACTTTAGGGTATTTATCCTAATTAAAACTGTGATTTTTTTTAATACTTAGATCTACCTTAATATTTTCCATATTAATATGCCAGGATAGTTATATATGTTCTAACATTTACAAAGATTAGAAACATGGGGAAATAAACAAAATGCAATAGCTTATACAATACCAGACGAAGTTGAAACAGCTCTAAATATTTATTGAAATTTATTTGTCACTACGTTTATTAACATAGATCTAATACAGTTAAATATCGTTAAATATAATTCTGTAGTATGGTAGCCTACGTGGCAACATATGCAGATCGAAAACCGAAAGAATATGGTTGCCATCAATTCCATTGTATTTTTCATTGGTGCACATTGGCTACACCTATCTCACTTTAATCATCAACAAACGATGACCAACTCACTGACAATATATGGTGATATTTAACTTTTGACTATCGACTAGCTTATCATCACCAGAGAGGACAATACCGCAAACACCCCGTTATAGCGCGCGACGAGAGACTCATTTTACTTTTGCTCGTTTTCATTAGAAAGGAGTCGGACATAGATCTAGTTATCGGAAAATGATGAATTGATTCTTTTTTCGGAAATAATAAAAATACACATGATAAGCACCTTGCTATGATAAACTTTATAGACAGCAGCAACAACCTGATGATCCACATTTAGGCTACTTCAGTCAGTGCTAATTAGGCCTTTTCGGAAACATCAAGTATGTTTCTGTCTCTTCCCGAAAATACGATTTTTTTCATAACATCATTGATCACTTTAGACTAGGGCTATAACTAGCAGCCTACAGAGAGTCGATCTGAATACTTCCATTGTTTTGATTCCCTCTTTTCGCTGTATAAGAGAAATCTACTTAACCATTCCCATGGCCTGGATGAGCCACATTGTTGCACAAAAATCAAAGTCAGAAGATTAGTACATGTAAACTTTAAATAGTAATGATTTCAGAAATAACACAGAAGAAATGGCGATAACTGTCAGTGCGGTCAGTAGGCGATGCATAAGTTAGGCCTATTTACAAATCTACACGCTTACGAACGAAACCCGAACATGTGACGGCCACAAAACGCCACCAGATTGAATTCTGGTCAAAAATATACCGCTTGCCCTTGGCAATTACCCTTGGTATCCATAAAATAATAATATGGAAAAAAGTCTTGGGCCCCCTTCACCTCTATCATCAAGTTCTGTGTATCATATTAATATCAACACTGACGCTCAATGAAAATGACCGGCAAACTGCATTCTTAACCCTGCCACTTCTGAATAATACGATACATTTAGATCATTTGACGCACTGCATGCACAGAAACATATCAACAAGCGCAGACTATTTTTGAAAAATTAACTTACCTCAATCGAATTCACAGATCATCTGTCCAGTTCCAGTTGCTGCACAATCACTTGCTTGTAATATATTATGTCCAGAGTGAGTTTGAGCTAAGATGGCTGGTGACAACAAATCTTCCGCGACAATGTGACGTCATTCTGACGTCACTTCACGAGGCAACAGGCTAAACTTTTCTGCAGTCGCTCTCACGCCGCAAAAAATACGCGCCAATTGTTTTTAACTGTAATATTGCTTGTGACAACATTTAGTTCGTTAATAGATATATATGTTTAAAAGAAAATAACACTAAGAGATGGTAGATCTACAAGTGGTTTCCTAAACATCATTTACAAAAAGTACTGTAATGTCCAAAGCACAACGTTATCACAACGTTAATTTGCAACGTTGTTGTAACGTTGTCACAGATATACGCAATTACGTTCTCGAAATATTAGTATTAAGAGATGAAAATTCAAATGCCGAATATATAGAAAGGTAATGCATTACTAACTTGGTTTTCTGACAAATTCATGTTGATTTTGATAAAGCAGTTCTATTCCTTCTATTCTATTCTATCGAGAAGCAAACTCAATAACGTTTTTACCGACGTTTCAGAAACGTAGTTACAAAACGTTGTGTGATGTCCAATGCACAACGTTTTCACAACGTGAATGTGCAACGTTGTTATTACGTTGTGAAATAACGTTGCAGGTCGACGTTAAAATAACGTTGTGACAACGTTATATCACGACGTTACCAATCCACAACCTTTCAACAACGATGGAAGTGCGAATCATGCATGTATGGCGAAAATGTTATTGTCATTGTTTGTTGTTTAATCGCCTCTTACGACAAGCACGGGTTGCTGAAAAGTGAAAACCAAATCTAACATTATTGTAATTTTCTGCCAAAATGTAGTTTATTTCGAGTAAACACCTTTGTTTTTACGCTTTTCGCGATGAAGACTATTTGACGTCGCACCAACGTATGAGAAACGTTGTCATCATAACGTTGCATGGCGCCCGATGCACAACGTTTCCACAACGTAATTTTGCTACGTTGTGATTACGTTGTCACATAACGTTGGAGTGACGTGATAATAAGGTGTTTACACAGACTTTAGTTTATTTACGAGATGGAAATCCTGATTCCGAAGATATAGGTAAATAATGAATTACTGCCTTGTTTTTGGCAGAAATTGTGTCGATTTGTATGTAAAACTTTTGTTCATACAATTTTTGTTAAGGCGACAGTTGACGTCGCACCAACGTTTCAGGAACGATGTAACAAGACGTTGGGAAATATTCGATGAACAACGTTTTCACAACGTAAAAATGCAACGTTGTTATTACGTTGTGAAACGACGTTGCACAGTGACGTAATAATAACGTTGTGACAACGTTGTATCACTACGTTACCAATTCACAACTTTACCACAACGTTGTGAAAACGTAGTGTGTTAGCTGGGAGGCCACCCTGACTGATCAAAGAAGGGTCATGTCTTGATTGTCTGATCCCATCACAGCTCTCAACTACATTAGGGGACACAGGTGGCCCAGTCTTGAAAATTCCTGCAATTCGCTCTGCACATGGCTACATTAGACTAAGTTTTGTCCTTCATCAAATTTTCACCTTTTGAAAAAGAATTTCTCCTGTTTCTTTGGTTTCAGTTGTGCGTGGCGCCATGTCTGAGTTTGTTGTGCCTGATCCTGAAGAACTGTTAGAGTGTCCCTATGACAAGGTCCACATGGTGCGAGCTAAACGATTCCAGTACCACCTCATGAAGTGCCGCAAGGTGGGAACATATAATCCAACCTAAGTTTGTTTGTTTGTTGTTTAACGCCGCACTCAGCAATATTCCAGCTAAATGACAGCAATCTGTAAATAATCAAGTCTGGACCAGACAATCCACTGATTGACACCATGAGCATCGAACCACACAATTGGGATATGATGACATGCACCTATGTGTGAATGCAGTTTGAAATGGAGACATTGAGAACCGTACAGAATATTTTGTAGCCAATAGGTCATGTTGGCCAAGGACTGAGTGCTTGTTGTTTGACGCTGTCAGCAATATTCAAGCTATTTGAAGGCAGTCATAATAATAATGTGTATGGGACAGGACTGAGTAACAATCCAGGGATTTGTCTAGACATGCTCCGATACCAATATTTCAGCCCCAAGTCCGCAGCAAACGTCATTATAAATTCCCACATTGGAACATAAATTTCCCAATTCATGTTGCAATCTACTAATACAGTCAAGTTTCATTAATGATGGGAACTGATTAAATCAGTGCTTTTTAGACCTGTTAATCCAACAGTCTCGCACTCCGACTCCGACACACCTAATTTGCAACGAATTGCTGAAATCACTCATAAATCAGTCTCGTTAATCAGACACAGTGATCAGCGTACTCCATGGTCATCTGCAAGACGAGTCAGCGAGTAGCTGCATATTTTAACGGCTGCAGAGATAAACTTACTTAACAATAAACAATTACTGCTTGAAATAAACAAAGCAGGATTAATCACATGCCTAGATTATCTCAATCTCATTAAAATCGGTTTCAAGTTCTCGCTTGCTGACTTGGTTGATGCATGTCATCATATCCCAATTGTGTGGGTCGATGCTCATGATGTCAACCACTGGATTGTCTGGTCCAGACTTGATTATTTACAGCCTGCCGTCATATAGCTAGAATGTTGCTGAGCGTGCTGAATGCGGCGTTAAACATGAACAACAACAAAAATAGTTGAGAATTCAGATAATGTCCTGCAATTAATGTATAATTATGCAAAATATTTCAAATTCTGATCCCCAGTGCCTTCGCACTTCAGAAATCACTTTGCAAGGCTCATGAAATACAACATTTTAGATTTTGGATTTTTTTTATCCTCATTGTAAGGGTGTTTTGGGGTTAATAAAAAAGCTCAACTTTGCTTATGTGTTCTTTTAGTATATCTCCATATATTGGATAAATAGTAAAGGAAGGATTAGGCAATATCAATTATGTTGTAGTTTCAGTTGCCCTTAATTTTCAAATATGGGGGTAGATAGTCTTTTCTCTGTAACCCTTCCTCGGCATTTGCGAAATACATTGTGTTGGCTGGGTTTAGTACATATTCCATCTGTGCTTTTTTTTTTGTCATGTACAGTGGGAAACACAGAAAGAAAGGCAGCTTAAAATAAGATTGGCCCAGTAATTGGAACGATATATTTATTTTAGACCTTACGGCTCATTTGGACCAGGGCTCAGTAGGATTGAGGATTTTCATGCAACATACATACCTTTGACTAATGATGCCATTGTTTCAGAACTGGCCTGGATCAGAGTTTTCGGTGTGTCCGTTTAACGCTAAGCATGAGATGCCGAAGCCGGAACTTCGATACCACATGGCCAGTTGCTGTGACCGAGCAGTGCTGGAGAGAGACATCGCTTATGGTGAGCATGTTGACTATAAATCTTGCAGGAATCAGAACCACTGATGAATGATGAATTTGTAATTTCATAAGGCTTACTTAGTCCTTTTATTCCTTTGAGGATTGGGTACATCATCCTCACTTGGGGGAGTTCCTCCACTCATGACATGTATGAGGTGCCCAGGCTCTGAGGTTTGCTCTGAGTGGTACCTCGTTCATTTTTTATTTTTTGTTAGTCGTCATGCTCACCAATATTTTGGCTATATGACGACGGCCTGTAAATAATCTAGTCTGTTTTTTTTTTTTTGTTTAACGCCCCACTCAGCAATATTCCAGCTAAATGACGGCGGTCTGTAAATAATCGAGTCTGGACAAAACAATCCATTGATTGATATCATGAGCATCGATTCAACCAACTGGGATACGATGACATGCATCAACCAAGTCAGCGAGCCTGACCACCCGATCCCGCTTGTCACCTTTTACTGGACCAGACAACCCAGTGATTGATACTCTGAGCAACAACCCATGCCGTCAGGGTACGATGACATCGAGTCGACCGAGTGTGACCACCTGATCCACATGGCTGCTTCTTACAACCAGCATAGGTTGCTGGGCAGCAGTACTAACCCCGACTCCCCATAGTGAGTGAATGAGTTGGGTTTAACGCCGCCTTTAACAGTATTCCAGTTATATCATGGCATGTCAGCTTAATGTGGGAGGAAAGCCTGAATTGATGCAGGTCTCAGACGTTTACCACTTCGGTGAAACCCACGAGCACGGGTATGGTGCTGACAAACCTGAAACATAATTTGGGAGACCTGGGATTCGAACCCACAATCATAGGTTTCTGGCGTGCCCAAGGGACGCAACTCTTCACAGCGAATTGCGGCGCCTTAGACAACTGGGCCGCCCGTGCCCCCCCTACTCACCATAGAGTCTCAGGGTCATGGCATCATACCAGTATCTGCAGATCGGGAGTTACGTCCCTTGGCTGGTTGTGACCTTTTGTCTGTCAGCATAATATGCTCTTAAGGTTTTTGATCATGCTTTCCAGTTATTATTTTTTGCTGGATTATGGATCTGCCAACCCTAAATTTCACAAATGTTGATTAAAATAAACATTATTTGTAGTCTTATTCCCACAGTCAGTTAATATAGTTGAAAAAAAATGAAGTGTCTTGGGCATAGGTTGTTATGGTTAACGTTACCATTGGTTACTGGTTCCAGAATGTGTGCCTTAACAGTTGTAACATTGGTCGGGTAGCCTGGTGGTAAAAGCGTTCGCTTGTCATGCCGAAGACCCGGGTTCGATTACCGACATGGGTACAATGTGTGAAGCCCATTTCTGGTGTCCCCCGCCGTGATATTGCTGGAATATTGCTAAAAGTGGTGTAAAACAATACTCACCCACTCACTCACTCACTCACTCACTGTCTTTTATCCCACCAACAATACCTTTACTGTTTTTATTTTAGTTCAGAAAAATATTGTTTTTCAATTTTATTTTGATTTCAACCACAAACCTTGTGTTTTGGGGAATCAAATAAACTAAGTAATAAAAAAGAAATAAGTAATTTGAGAACGGACATTCTAATTCAATATCAAACCAAAACTCATCCCCCTTAACACCATGCTTTATCACTAAAGAGTTGTGTCAACAATAACTTGTGAGTATCTAGTTGGTCATACTATTTGCTTGTGTTGTTGCCACGGTTACAGAGAAGAGCAAGATGAATGGAGAAGGGACATTCTTCAAGGGATGCACAGACGTGCCGCCATACACCAACCACCTGGCCTGTGACGAGAGCTGGGATATGGGTACATTATTAGAATGAAATAATAATAATAAATATATAAACTTATATTGTACCAATTTCCAGATTGGTTTTGCTCAAAGGCGCTTTTATATGAGTCTGGTGGTCAAAGAGAGAGTTAAGTGAGAGTTGTAGGAAGATTGGAACAAATAGGTTATTAACAGTCAATTAAATTGGTTGATATCATTTGCGCTTATGATGTTGACGGGAATGTTGTTTCAAAGCTACTCACACTTTGATAGGAAGTACCTTTGATAGCATGAATTTTTATGTTTTGGCAGTTATTTGCTTGAAAAACTTCATACATATCTCTGCATTCTGATCACCATTTGAGTAGTATTAAAAGATAACAGCTTGTATCGTGTATATTTGAGATATAGACTGAAACTGCTGTTTCTACACTCTGTTATTTACTCACAACCTAAAGAGATATCCTGAGTTTGGCTTTATGGGGACAGCAAAGGGGACAGCAAAGGGGACAGTCAGGTAGCCTAGTGGTTAAAGCGTTCACTTATCTCGCCAAAGACCCGGGTTCGATTCCCGACATGGGTACAATATGTGGAGCCCATTTCTGGTGTCCCCCGCCTTGATATTGCTGGAATATTGCTAAAAGCGGCATTAAAGCATACTCACTCACTCATTTAAACAACAAACAAACATTGTTAACTGATTGTTCACTGAAAGAAGTTTACTGTGATCTATTTTCTTAGAGATGAATTCATGTCCAAGGATTGGTGTAGACCCAGACTTCTTCGACAAGTTCAAGTTTATCAACCTGTCGGGGTAAGTATATTGATGTTAGTCTTGACTGTGGACACATAGACCCAGTTTTGATCAGAGTTGATACAGTTGACTTTAAATGACTTGGGGACATGGATGGCCAAGTCGTCTCAGGTGACGCAATTCACTGTGCAGAGTTGCGTCCCTTGGGCATGCCAGAAACAGATCGTGGGGTCGATTCCCGGTTCGCCCCAAGTAGGTTTCTGGGTTTCCTCCCATTATAAGCTGACATGCCGTGATTTAAAAGGCATACTACCCGTGAAGATCTGGGGTAGAATAGGTCTTCAGCAACCCATGCTTGCCGTAAAAGGTGACTTTGCTTGTCTTAAGAGGCAACTAACAGGGTCGGGTGGTCAGGCTTGCTGACTTGTTGATGCATGTCATCGTATCCCAATTGCGGGATCAATGCTCATGATGTTAATCACTAGATTGTCTGGTCCAGACTTGAGTATTTTACAGACCACCGTCATATAGCTGGAATATTGCAGAGTGCGGCATTATACAAACTAACAAACAAACAAACAAATGGCAAACTGTTAAAATGTGGCATTAATCCGAACAAACTCACTCAAATGACTTAAGTTGCTTTACACCTGTAAGTGTGGTGTTGGCCATTAGAACTTGTGGCATTGGGTTCTATATGAAGCAAGTTAAATTATACTTTCAAATGATATTAAGAATGCAAAGAATGAACTGTATGATTCACAATATTAACACATGGATTTATGACTTGAAAAAGGTATTGTCAATCTCGGTGAAACTGAATGGGTCAGACTTTCTAGGTAATATGAGTGAGTGAGTTGGGTATAACGCCGCTTTGAACAGTATTCCTGTTATATCACGGCATGTCAGCTTATTGTGGGAGGAAAGCCCGAAGTGATGCTGGTCTGGACATTAACCAGTTTGGTGAAACCCATGAGCACGGGTATATGGTGCTGACAATTCTACACCAGCTCTGCTCAAAAGCCATTTTCTGCAAGGTAGGTCAGTTCTGCCTTAAGAGAACACTTTTGCTAAATATTCTGCTGCTGCAAAATTGCAGAATACTTCGGATTCTGATTGGTACCACATGGTTGACATCATGATGTTATGGTGTTTGTAGTGTGTTTGTTTTTGTTGTGTGTGATTTGGTGCTTGTTATGCATGATACGGTGTTTGTAATGTGTGATTTGTGCTTTTTATGTGTGATATGGTGTTTGTAATGTGTGATATGGTGTTAGTTATGTGTGATGTGGTGTTTGTAATGTGTGATATGGTGTTTGTAATGTGTGATATGGTGTTTGTAATGTGTGATATGGTGTTTGTAATGTGTGATTTGGTGTTAGTTATGTGTGATTTGGTGTTATTTATGTGTGATATGGTGTTTGTAATGTGTGATTTGGTGTTAGTTATGTGTGATTTGGTGTTAGTTATGTGTGATATGGTGTTGGTAATGTGTGATATGGTGTTTGTAATGTGATATGGTGTTTGTAATGTGATATGGTGTTTGTAATGTGTGATTTGGTGTTAGTTATGTGTGATTTGGTGTTAGTTATGTGTGATATGGTGTTTGTAATGTGTGATTTGGTGTTAGTTATGTGTGATATGGTGTTTGTAATGTGTGATATGGTGTTTGTAATGTGTGATTTGGTGTTTGTAATGTGTGATGTTGTGCTTGTAATGTGTGATATGGTGTTTGTAATGTGATATGGTGTTTGTAATGTGATATGGTGTTTGTAATGTGTGATTTGGTGTTAGTTATGTGTGATATGGTGCTTGTAATGTGTGATATGGTGCTTGTAATGTGTGATATGATGCTTGTAATGTGATATGGTGCTTGTAATGTGTGATATGGTGTTTGTAATGTGATATGGTGCTTGCTATGTGAAATGTGGTGTTTGAAATGTGTAAGAAGAAAAGTACAGTAAACTACGGTTACAACGACCACGCTTATAACGAACTGACGGATATAACGGACTTACTGTTTGGTCCCGACTACTTGCTGTAGTCATGCTGTATATGTACTTATAACGAACTACGGTTATAATGAACTAAAAATAGTAGTCCCTTTGAGTTCGTTATAACCGTAGTTTACTGTATGTGTGATATGGTGTTTGTAATGTGTGATGTGGTGCTTGTAATGTGTGACCAGGCAGATGGATGTCAGCATGACCTGAGATTGTGGATTGTTGCTCATGCTGTCAACCAGTGGTTTGTCAGGTACCACTTGTTTACAGCCTACAGGGATACACCTGGAATGATGCTGATTGTGTTGTGAAACATCACATACTCACTGACACCCTGTTTGTTGACAGATATGCCCAGGCACAAAAGCGTCAATATTACGAGAATCTCAAGTCTGAGTTTCAAGGACAGTAAGTATTGTACACTGTAGTCAGCTGGCTATAACAATAAACATAGATGGATAAGATTTGTATCTCAATGTTAAGTAGGCTAATAAAAATATACAGGGGACCGCCTCCGTGGTCTAGAGGTAGAGCGTCCGCCCGGAGAGCGGAAGGTCCCGGCCGCGTCATACCAAAAGACGTTAAAAGATGATACTTGTTGTTACCCTGTCTGGCGCTCGGCATTAAGGGGCTAAAACAAGGACTGGTCGGCTCGGAGTCAGTATACTGTGTCTGAGAAAGGTATTCATGTTAAACTGCGGCATGGTATCTCAGTGGGCTAGCACTATAAATTGGCATCAGTCCGGACTTGTACACGCAGCCACACACACACACACATACACGAGCATGCACGTCGCTATATAAGTGCAAAAATCTTGGACGCGACGTTAAACCCAATTTCACCTCACCACTATACAGGGGGTTCTTGCTGTCCTTGAGGTTTGCACCTGTTGTATTTGTATCTAGGGACCCTCTACATTTTTAACAATAGACGTTATTGTGATGATGAGGACTCCTTGATTTCGATGCTTTATTTCAAACACTGAAGAGCCGTCTAACGGGATCAGCTGGTCAGACTCGCTGACTTGCACGGAGATGGTCATAATATCCCAATTGAGTAGATTGATTTTTATCTTTGGATTCTCTGGTCCGGACTTGATTATTTACAGTCCGTCGTCATATAGCTGGAATTTCTATAGTGTTGCGTTAAATGACAAACGTCAACCACTGAATATGTATAATTCTACCTGAACTATACTTAAAATTTCATGATTGGTGGGTGGGTTCGTCAGTAGGTAGGTTATTTGGTATTTTCTTCAAGGTCAATTTATCATAATGTTAATGTTTTTGCATTAATTTGAGCTCCACTGACATCATCTCAACAACACTATTATGAGTAATATTGAAGACTTCGTACATGATATTCCTCCTAATATGTACCCCTGGGGAACTTTCTCACATATGATTGAATCACTTTGAAGGTCAGGGTCACTTTATGAACCTGAGACATAAAAATAGCTTGTGTACACATTGACTTAAGTGTTTATGAATAGAATCTGATGAGACTTAGTGTACATAATCCCTCAGTAACCGAAGTGTAAGTCAAATCACTAGAGGTCAAATTAAGAAACAAGATTAACATTTCATGACATGTTGGATTAATTCATGAAAAATCAAAGGTTTTTACAGTCAGATAAGATGATCTCTACTCATATGTCATGATTGTCAAGTGTCTGGGTCGCTGTGGAAGGTCATTCACTCATGAAATGACTTGTAATTTGTTTCATTTTGGAAGTATTGTTAGCACGGCATGGAGACTCTGTACATGTAACCATGGTAACACCACCTCAGTTTGCAAGAAGTAGTATTCTTGCATATCATGGGTTGATATTGAAGGTGAAGGTCATTTGGTGTAAAGCCGACATTCCGAAAACTTGTGACTTTGTTATTATGGTAGCTAGAAGCATATGACTTTCTATTTCCAAGTTGGGCATTGGGCTTGTGTTTTCCTGAACGAGAAGTGACCTTGTTAAAGCGGCTTTGATGTTCAGGGAGGTAGAGGCATTGCCTGTCCTATTTCTGCATTGGGCATGTATGAGGTCAACTGTCCTTTAATGTGAAGTCAAATTGGTTCATGCTACATGTTTCTGATGGGAAAGTTTTGGGACATTCAGTAAAAGATGGGGATTGGGATGCTCCTGTTTTTGCCATCTTCCCGCATCTTCCCGAGGCAAGAGAGTTTACTGACTTTAAAAGTCCATTTTCCACCCTTGCTGAACTAGGCTGAAATTACTGGGCTCGATCGTAGCACCACCAGTGGCTATTACCAGTTATGTCCCTTCTAAACCTCACCTATGGACAAATCAGATTCCAACTCTCGTATCACTTGCGTTTGCTTCACACAAAATGGTGGCGCCCAGTCAGGACGATCTGATCGATAATCAAGATCTGTATTGTGATAAAAGGAGTCTTACATCGCGAAATGCATCAAATCACGTGAACACCTTGATTAAAAACATCAAAAGATTTGGAATAATATCTGTTGACAACGAGTTGGCTGTGCACATGCTTTGCAAATACTGCAGTCGATCGAAATCTGCACGGTCTAGTTTCCGTCCTTGCCAAACTAGGTTTGAATTATGGAGTTATAATTTGGCAGGACTGAGTCTGAGCATATTCCAATCAAAATCAGGCAAAAGAATTGACATCCGGTTTGTCAACTGCCGGGCAGATTTTGGACGAGTGCAGTATTTGTAAAGCTTGTCTACCACCCACTCAGCGCCATTGTATATATTCTAAATCTTTTCATTTGTTTAATCAAGGTGCTCATGTGATTAAATGCACCTCGCGAAGTAAGACAGATTTTATTCCAATATAGATCTTGATTATCAATCAGTTCGTCTTGACTGGGGACCGCCAATTTGTTTGAAGCAAATGCAAGTGATATGAGAGATGGAAATTGGTCCATAGGAGGGACATAGGACATAACTCATAATAGCTACTGGTGGCACGATGAATGAGCGTAGAAATTCCGGCCTACTTCGGCAACGGTGAAAACTGGACTTTTGCAGTCAGTTAACTCCTTTGCATCAGGAAGATGTTTTTTGCATGTAATGCAAACATTTGTCATGTTAAATATTTAAGTTTGTCAGATCAGTATCGACATACACTCTACTTTTCGGCCTTATATCACTAAGCAAGATTCGAAAGCAATATTTAGTGGTATTTATATATTCAGGACAGTCAAGAAGCCGCTTGCTGGCAAAAATCCATCAGGCAAACTACGGCTTCCACAAGAATCCTCCAAGGCCTCCAAGTTGTCTGAACATCAGCAGCCCGTGCAACACCCTGCCAACGTGTTTGCCTACTCCCTTTCCATGGCGGGCCTGGGTCGAGGGAGGGGCAAGTCTGGTCAGTGTTTTACTCTGTTCTTGGTGATCACAATAACAACGTGCTCCGGACAGTTTGGGCAGTAATCATTAAGTAATGCAGAGCTACAGATAAGCAGCATACTTGTGTAAAATACCCCCCTAAAATATTAAAAAACCCAATTACTTTCAATTAAATTGCGTACAGAAACGCATGCATTAAATGAAAAACTCGAATGTTCAAGAATCATGAGAATAGCATGCATAAATACCCAATAACCATTTCCAGCATGCGTACAAAGGAGCTAATTTCCGAAACACAATTACCAGCTTATTTACTTTCCGAGTCGAGCTTATTCTTTTATTTTTTTTAAAACATAAAATGTTCACTAATTTTGGGAAACACCCAATAGAGTGATGAATAGATATGTGAAAAAATATTGGTTACCCAATGAAAAATGTAATAACCCAATTAAAATAGAAACCCTGGAGTATAAACTCAATTGCTCAAAAAGTTATCTGGAGCTCTGATAATGACAGGACTTCTGTTGTATTACATACACACTCACGGGGCGGTCGGGTAGCCTAGTAGTTAAAGCGTTCGCTTGTCACGCAGAAGACTCAGGTTCGATTCCCGACATGGGTACATCGTGTGAAGTCCATTTCTGGTGTACCCTGTGATATTGCTGGAATATTGCTAAAAGCGGTGTAAAACCATACTCACTCACTCACTCACTCACACACACTCACAATGCTATGGTGAATGGTATGAGTTGTCGATGGTGTTTTCTGAAGTTGACATGTGTGCTCTGTTTTCAGCAGTGGATGCTCAGCCAATGGGTATCAGCAACATCTTCAACATGGGCATTGGGAGGGGGCTGCCTGCACCAGGTCTCAGAGGTCAGTTCAGTTACTTGTTGTGATGGAGAGGCAGTCATGTTCAGTTTCCTGGTAGACCTGATTCGCTAGGAGGAATGCTGTATGACCAGGGCCCTGTTCCTCAAAGCGATCTTAGCGCTACGATGATCGTAAGCCAATGTTAAAGTATGGGACCTAAAATCACCTTAGCGCTAAGTTCACTTTTAGGAACGGGACCCAGGTCAGACCGGTTCTCATCGTCCCATCCCGGGTGGTCCCAGGTTGGATTCCCCATCATGTGTCAAGCCCTTTACTTGTGTCCCCCATCATGAATGTGTGGCTGGAATATTACTAACAGCAGCGTCAAACTGTAATCCCTCACTCACTTATCCCATGCCATCTTCCTGAGGCAAGTGAGTTTCCACCCTTGCCGACGTAGGCTGGTATTATGGAGTTACATTTTGGCTGGACTAACAAGTCTATGCATAGTCCAATCAAAATCGCGCAATGGAATCGAAATCCGGTTCGTGAACTGTCATGCAGATTTCGGTCGATTGCCGGATTTGCAAAGCATGTTGACCGCAAACTTGTTGTCAATAGATATTTTCTAAATCTTTTCATAATTTTAATCAAGGTGCTCACGTGATTTGATGTACTTCGCGATGTAAGACTCGTTTTCTGATAATATAGATCTTGATTGTCGATTAGATCATTTTGGCTGGGTGCCGCAATATTGTTTGAAGTAAATGTAAGTGATACGAGAGGAGGAATCTGATTGGTCCATAGGACAGGCACAGAAGGGACCTAACTCGTAATAGCCACTGGTGCAATCGAGCCCAGGATTTCCAGTCTAGTTCGGGAAGGGTGGCAACTGGACTTTCAAAGTCAGTTAACTCTCTTGCATCCGGGGTGGCCCAGTTCTCTAAGGCGCCACGATTTGCTGTGCAGAGTTGCATCCCTTGGGCACGCCAGAAACATATGATTGTGTGTTCTAGGTTTGTCAGCACTATACCCGTGCTCATGGGTTTCACCGAAGTGGTAAACGTTCGAGAACTGCATCACTTCGGGGCTCGTCCAACATTAAGCTGACACGCCATGTGGAATACTGTTAAAAGCGGCGCTAAATCAAACACACTCACTCACTCATTCTTGCCTCGGGAAGTTGATCCCATGCCTGTTGTAGGGGCATAGCCTGATGGTTAAAGTTTTTGCTCATCATGCCGAAGCCCCACCCACGCACCCACTGTGTCAACATATCCACATGGGATTGATCAGTGCTTAAAATGTTGATAATTGTCTGGTCCAGACTCGATTATTCACAGGCCGCTGTCATACAGCTGGAATATTGCTGAGTGAGGCATTAAACAACATACACAGGCATGATATTGTATGTACTGCCTAAAAAGTAAAATGCTTACAATTTGTTGCATTAATCATGCAAGTTTGATAAATTGGTAATTACACAATAATTCTCTCTATATGACGCAGATTTGCTGGAAATCAAGACCTGTACTGTGCCTAAGTTTGTGGTTCCTGCGGTACAGCCAACAGGGGCCGGCAATGTAGCCCTGTACCCAGCTGGACAACATAACGCCACCCAGCACAGTCCACCAGGTGAGCTAGGTTGTGTCACTGTCAACTCAGCGCTACTTTCAGCAACTTGCAGACATTGGAAAAAGCAAGTAGGGTTGAAGGGGGTGCAGAAGTGGCCCAGTCGTGGCCCAGTTATCTGAAGGTGCAATTCTCTGTACACGGTTTCACCCTCCAGGCATGCCAGATTCGGATTATGCCCTGATAACCATCCATTGTTTTGTCAGTGTCATGCTTGTGAGATACTGGACTGACCCGTGAAGATCCGGGATAGAATAGGTCTTCAGCATCCCATGCTTGCTGTAAAAGGAGCCTATGCTTGTCGTAAGAGGCCACTAACTGGATTGGGTGGTCAGGCTTTCTGACTTGGTTGATGCATGTCACAAATACGTGGATCGAGACCCGTGAAGATCCGGGGTAGAATTGGTCTTCAGCAACCCATGCTTGCCGTAAAAGGCGACTTACGGGATTGGGTGGTCAGGCTCGCTGACTTAGTTGACGCATGTCAACCATCCCAAATGCGTGGATCGATGCTCATGATATCAAACACTGGATTGTCTGGTCCAGACTCGATTATTTACAGACCGCTGTCATATAGCTGGAATATTGCTGAGTGCGGCGTTAAACAACAAACCAACAACCAACAACGTGCATCGATGCTCTTGATGTCAATCACTGACTCGATTATTTACAGACCGCTGTCATAAAGCTCGAATATTGCTGGAATATTGTTAAACAAACAAACAAACAAACAAACAAACAAAAGATACCGGACAGGTAAATATCAAAGGCTTGCATCGCTTTGGCTTTGCTCACATTGATGTGACTATATGGGTATTGAAACCTGTCTCACTCAATCACTCATTCAAGCAAATGTCTATCATTTAAAACAGGATATATTTTGCCTACTCAACAAAAGCTTTGTAATTTTCTGCACATGATTTAAATTCTGATGCCAGGTTTGTCACTATTATATTTCTATGTCTGTCAGCACCATACCCGTGCTTGTGGGTTTCACCAACTTGTAAACGTCTGAGGTCTGCATCACTTTGGGCCCTCCTTCCACATCAAGCTGACATGCCATGATATAGCTGAAATACTGTTCAAAGTGGCTTTAAACCCATTTCACTTACCAGTGAAGATCCAGGGTTGAATAGGTCTTCAGCAACCCATGCTTGCCGTAAAAAGCAACTGTGCTTGTCGTAAGAGGCAACAAACGGGATCTGGTTGTCAGGCTCGCTGATTTAGTTGATACATGTCATCGTATTCTAATTGCATAGATCGATGCTCATGACTTCAATTATGGGATCATCTGGTCCAGACTTGATTATTTGCAGACTGACATCATATAGCTGGAATATTGTTGAGTGCGTTGTCAAACAACAAACAAAAAACAACAACACTTGAGCACCTACTGATCCAAATTGACAACTTGAAGATGATGAAAAATCTGTGCAATGTTCTGACAAACACTTTCACAATTAGAGTTTGCTTTCAATTTGCAATCATTACAGATGATCCTGACACATCTATTGAACCAGAAGACAACATCACAAACACAGGAAGTGGAATCAAAGTGAGGCCTGAATATATATCTTTTGTGGGTGCAAACAAGAAAGTGAAAGGAGAATAAATAAAAAATATAACCAATAATAAATCAGCCTAAGACATTGTTTTGAAATTAAGTTGCAGGCTGAAAAAATCTCTTCATATGAGCGTAAGAATAGATTCTCATAATAAGGTCATTTTCAGAAATTTATTATGGATAAATTTCTTTTCTTTTTCTCCCCATGTTTCATGACTTTTGTGACTACATGTCCAGGTTAGCTACAGTGCCATGTCACTATTTTTGTTTTACCAAACAGCAAGATGAGAATTCGCCGAAGAAACTAGCAGTGGAGTACCTGATATGACCAAGCTCCTACACATGCTCCTCAAGAGTACGCAAGTCCCATTTCATTCGAAGTATTTTTCATCTCTCTGTGATTTTAATTGTAGAATACTTGTTGGTTTTAAATGCTTTAGCTTGATCTTCCCGACAGTCACCAGTAGCCAGAGGGATGGTGTAAATCCTGCTGGGATACCATGCAGGAAGCAGATGTACCGTAAGTCCTTAGGTACGTGGTCCTTAGTATGGTGGCCGAACTTTGGTTGCTGGTGATCTCTAGCCCAATTTTATAATGTATTGTTGAGAATAGTCAGATTTTTATGGTAACATGCTAGTTTTAAATCTGTATCTGTGATAGTCTAGTGATTTTACTGTCCTTTGTGGACAGATTTTAATGTCTATATGTATCAATGTATAACTTGATTTAGTCACTATATGGCTGAAATATTGCCGATGTGACTTTAAATATTAACTCACTCACTCACTTCTCAAGAGACACAGGTCAGTAGCTGCTGCTGTACAAGGATCTTCTAAAAATATGTGATGCAGTCGCTCTCCACCCATCTTCCCGAGTCAAGAGCGTCCGCTAGCCTTTTTATCAAAGTCTTGTATCTACCCTTGCCACATCAAGCCCAATTTCCTGTGCTAAATGTGACTGGACTATCAAACATACCTATAGTCCAATCAGAGAATGTTTACCTATAATCTATAGTTATAGATTCCTTCATATAACTATACTTAATCTGGCATGGACAATCTCATTCTTTCACATAACTATAGTTAATCTGGCATGGCATGGCAGATTAATTAACTACAGTAATATAAAAGAATCGGGTGGTCCATAATTTTGTTTTAGTAGTATATGATTGGATGACATTGAATGTCAAGGTCAGTTAGTATGAACAGGCAGCCCAAAAGTCTTGTGTACACAAGGATATAAGTATTTGTGAATGGACATTGATCACAGAAAGTGTAAGGTGTGTTATTTCAACTTTTGGGCATCAGTCCGGACTAGTACAAGCAGCCACACAAACACACACACATACATGCACGTCGCTAGATAAGTGCAATAATCTTGGACGCGACGTTAAACCCCATTTCACCTCACCTCCTCACTTCTCACTTGCAGGGGGGCACGGGTGGCCCAGTCGTCTAAGGCGCCGCGATTCGCTGTGCAGAGTTGCGTCCCTTGGGCACGCCAGAAACCTATGATCGTGGGTTCGAATCCCGGTTCGCCCCAAATATGTTTCTAGGTTTGTCAGCACCATACCCGTGCTCTTTGGTTTTACCAAAGTGATAAACTTCTGATACCTGCATCATTTCGGGCTTTCCTCCCACATCAAGCTGACACACCGTGATGTAACTGGAATATTGTTAAAAGCGGCGTAAAACCCAACTCACTCTCTCACTCCTCACTTGCAATTGGATGATGTTGAAGTAGATGTCCCAAAAAACTTGTCTACACAATATCTTGAGCATTTATATTTGGAATAAAGTCAATTTCAGCAAGGTTCCTTAGTGTTTGAATTCAGTACATCGTTCCGTATTATTTTCAGATCCAGGGACATCTTCAGGAAGCTGGGCGTTCATACAAAGTCATTCTATATGTGCCAACAGGGCATAGTGCTTTATTTCTGTCTGTTTTTGTTCTTAATGCCATTTGACAAAATGTTCTATTTGGACTGTTCTTTTATCTATATTTGAAATACAAAAAATATGTATACTTTGTTCAGAAACTTTATCATTAGCAAACGTGCCCAAAAGTTTACCAAATAAAGGCACAATGATCTCAGATGACAAAGACAAATGATTGTTTTGAGACTATGTACTGCAATACATTCTATTATTGACAGTTGTATTTATTAGCATGAATAGTGCTCTGCTGAACCAGCGTTTTTGTTTCAACTTTTCGTTAGACAAGGTGATTTAAGCAAGACCAGTTAAGCCAGTAAGTTAAGTGAAACTTAAGTTCAGTGAAGTTTACAGATATTTATGCCAAAAATGCTTGTAAGAAGGGGGAAGGGAGAGAAAAGAAAATGTATAAAGAGAAAAGTCTAAATATATTATGGCTTTGTGCCTAACACAATATTTTTGTTTTTTGTTCATCTTTTGGGGGTTCACTTTCAATTTTGTTGGGAGTGGGTATGATGTTGTTTTGCTACAGCTCTTGTCTTTCCTGTAGAAACTTGGAGAGAATTTTCAGATAAAAGGAAAATGTTAACGAACACCATTATTAGTTCTTTTTTTTTCAAACATACGAGATACAGATGGTGTCTTATTGTAGCAGAAAGGGCTTGCATCATTGACCGAGTGTCTCACGAGTCAAGTGATGATTTGTGGGGATATATTTATGGGAAACAGTAGTAGCATAGATTTGTAAACACTTAACAGATTGATAAGTAAGGCGAACAATTCAGCAGCGGTCATCGTTTAGGCAGTTTTCTGGTGTTGAACTTGCAGCTGGCAATATAATAATTTCACTGTCAATTGTTTCCGTATCAGTCACAATGTTAATGGGGGCGGTCGGGTAGCCTAGTGGTTAAAGCGTTCGCACGTCACACCGAAGACCCGGGTTTGATTCCCGACATGGGTACAATGTGTGAAACCCATTTCTGGTGTCTGGTGATATTGCTGGAATATTGCTAAATGCAGTGTAAAACCCTAACTCACTCACTCACTCACTCACTCACTCACTCACTCATCCGGGTTTGATTCCCGACATGGGTACAATGTGTGAAACCCATTTCTGGTGTCTGGTGATATTGCTGGAATATTGCTAAATGCAGTGTAAAACCCTAACTCACTCACTCACTCACTCACTCACTCACTCTGTTAATGACCATCAAACTATGAACATTTACGTTTGATTAGCTTAAAAAACTAATTTACCCCCAATGCTGGAATCAAAAGCCAAGGTCAAATGATGTCACATGACTTACAGTGACGTAATGAAGTGTCACGCTGACCTCTTTTGTTTCCTTAGTATAAGCATCTGCCATTTCGTGTTTGATTGGGTTCATTTAGGGATGTTATCATGATACGAACAAGTTCTCTTCATTTGCGCAATGATAACGATAATGCTTTTTTTCCAGGGCATTATCATTTGTAGAAGCCAGGGGTAACAATAACTGTTTGACAAAGGTTGGTTGGTTGGTTGGTTGGTTGGTTGGTTGGTTTGTTGTTTAACGCCGCACTCAGCAATATTCCAGCTATATGACGGCGGTCTGTAAATAATCGAGTCTGGACCAGACAATCCAGTGATTAATATCATAAGCATCGATCCACACAATTTGGGATCGTGTATGACCAAGGAGTTCAGTTGAATATTCAGAGGGCGTCTTCTAATGATAATGCCCTGAAAAATAGCATTGCTCTTGAAATTGTTGCTCTGCTATTTCTGCTGGCTCATTCTCAGCTGTAAAAGAGCAATAGTAAGCTGATATTACTGTTAAAAGTATAGAATTAGTTTATGAACAAGGCCTCAATGATATTCAATGTGTTGCTTGAAGGTATTGTAAGTACAAGCTGTGTTTGGTTTTGATAGGTTTCCTTGTTTAGACAATCAGCTTTGTGAAATTGGGATGTAACTGACGACAATGTGTTTGATTTATCAGATAGTCTTTATAGTCATGCTTTTTATGTATTTCTTTTGCACAGTTAAGCTTACCTTGAAGGTGAGCTTACACTGACACGTTTGTCCCTTCCTCATAAACTTATAAATTTTCCACATCTCCCTCGGAGCTGAAAGTTAGCACACATTATTCACCGAGTTCGGTCAGGTGTTTAACACTCATGTTTAAAAAGGCAATTTGTCCACTGATCAGTCATTTATTCATGCGTTAATAATAAAGTTGAGATGCAGTATGTTGGTGGTATTCAGTGCAACAATAATGTATTTGATGTTTTGAGTTTTTGTTCCTTCTCTGTTAGGGCTGGGACGGGTCCGAATTTACTACCCGGGTACCCACCCCCCTATAAACCGACCCTACCCGGATACCCACTGTAGGTCTCAAGAGATGGGTACAAAATGTCCGATTGGGCATTTTTGTACCATAGCACTGTCAAAACATATTTAGATACATGTGTTAAACAATCTGGTCATGCCTACACTGAAGTTGACTCAAGTTATATCTTTATTCAAAGATATTAAAAGTCAGAGGAAATGGATGCATAGTCAGAAAGAAATGCGAATATTTGTGACTTGTAGTGTAACCATAGAGTTCCAGATAATTTTTGTCATTAAACAATATATCACGTGACTAACCACAGGTCTGGGTAGTCCTGTGAGTACCCGGTCCTATTGAGTACCCACCCGACCGGGGTACCTGAGTTACCCGTCCCAGCCCTATTCCTGTATCTTGCTTCTTGGCTTTTGCAGCTGAAATTTTCTGGTTATGATCACAGTTGTGTCTCAGAAATGGCACACAGGAGTATGATCCACTACTGCCATGGTAGCTATGTTTAAAATGCCATGTTATTGTGGGCATTACTCATTCTGCATCGATCTGCATGTATCAACTGTGTCCCAACTTCAACATGTGTTAAACATGTAATGTATATTTGGCACCTGTCTCATCCAGTTATAATTAATTGTAAGTTATGTACATGTACTTGTTTACCCTTGTATGGATTTGAGCTAATATGAGGTTCAGAAAAACACAGTTACGCTACAGTGCCTTCCCTTGTTTTGGATGGGAGGGGAGAACAAAAATACATTTTATTTAAACTTATTGCAGTGAGTTTGTTTTTATGTTGCATTTTGTGTTGGCCAAATACTAAGTTCTTATGTTTGTTTGTTGTTTTAGCACAGCACTCACCAATTGCAATATTCCAGCTGTATGATGATGGCCTGTAAATAATTGAGTCTGGACCAAACAATACAGTGATTGACATCATGAGCAACGATCCACACAATTGGAATAGGATCACTCATCAACAAAGTCAGTGAGCTTGACCACCCGATCCTGTTAGTTGCCTCTTACAACAAGCATAGTTGCCTTTTACGGCAAGCATGGGTTGCTGAAGATTTCGATCCACACAATTGGGATACGATGACATTCATCGTCAAAGCCAGCGAGCTTGACCACCCGATCCTGTTTGTTGCCTCTTACAACAAGCATAGTCGCCTTTTACAGCAAGCATGGGTTGCTGAAGACCTATTCTAACCTGGTACTTTACCTAAAGAAAATTATAACCAGATTTTTGGATGGTTTGTACTGCACATCTCAACAAGTACACTTAATGAGTGATGACATATTGCAAGCCGTACATTTGATACTGTCCAATATGAAGACCTTCAACGGAAAATAACAGGTCAAGGTGACGATAACTCAATATCCAATGTGTCACCATTGGCGTCAATTAATGCTTGGCATATCTGGTCCACAGAAGAAATGATAGTTAGCATCATACATTGGAGAATGTGCTGTAGCGTTTGTGCCAGATGTTGCATGTCTGTCGTTCGGGATGTTGCATGTCTGTCGTTTGGGATGTAGCTGTCATGCAGCGATCCATATATTCCATTTGGTATTGCCGTAAAAGGTCACTATGCTTGTCGTAAAAGGCGACTAACGGGATCGGGTGGTCAGACTCGCTGACTTGGTTGATGCATGTCATCGATCCCAATTGCGTGGATTGATGCTCATGACATCAGTCACTGGATTGTCTGGTCCAGACTCGATTATTACAGACTGCCCTCATATAGCTGGAATATTGCTGCGTGCAGCGTTAAACAACAAACCAACAACCAAATTTGGTATATATGTATCTGGTTCTAATATGGTGATTAAGAGAGCGATGGGAGAACATGTACATTGTGGTTCTGTAGCGATTCTCCTGTGATTCTCACATTGTTGTGTTGAAAGATGATGTTGGCATGGTTCTTAATGGGAACAAGGTCTTTCATTGCATTAGCATTGGGTCATTAAGTTGTCTTGTACCTGCATCAGGTTTGTTCTACCGGTGTGGGTACCTGGGATCAGGTGGTCAGGATCACTGACTTTGTTGATGCATCTCATCGTATCACAATTGCGTGGATCGATGCTCATGATATCAATCACTGGATTGTCTTGTCCAGACTCGATTATTTACAGGCTGCCGTCAATTATCTGGAATAGTGATGCATGCAGCATTAAACAACAAACAAGCAAAAACGAACCAAATCTATCAACCTCTAATAAAGTCAACATTGTTCTGTGGGACACATTGAATACCCTGCCTACAACCTACTGCTATGCCAATCGCTAGATGATCTTTGGTTGAGTTCTGTAAGTCGAAGCATGACTTCTTAGTTGAACATTTGCTTACGGACAACATTCTGGCAACCGAGAACATGGATTACAGGTTTTGTAGGATACCTCAGTAGTCTGCAGTATGACACCAGGCACCACTGCATGAAGTTCGTACAACCTGAGTGCAATACCTTTTTTTTTTCTTCAGTCGGAAGCGTTATTCTTCATGAACAATGTATTGTTTTCCCACATGTTATTACTTACATCCCCATGTCAAACTTGTGTAATGGGGCCATCATTATCTGTGATGAAACTTTGACGGTAATTGGATGAAACATATTTCATAACATTCAAAGCGTCATGCCTTAAATCAAATATGCCATGGGGGTTGTCTTATTGGATGCCATAACCATATATCCCGTTATAACTACATTTGTTGTATGGTATTGTCCATCCTTTCGGGCTTTCCTCCCACATTTGGTCCGCCTCCATGGTGAAGTGGATAGAGCGTCTGCCCGGAGAACCAGAAGGTCAGTGGTTCGAGCCCCTTACCACCTCCTACCAAATGAAGTCAAAAGATCACACGACAGCATCCTTGATTGTCCAGTGTACCGTATCTACACTCTAATGTAGTACACTAGCTTCGTTTTAACCAAATTCTGAAAGCCCGACGCTTAAAATGGTCTCCTAATCAAATCTGTCCCAGGTCAGTGATGCATATGGACATGGTGTCAATGGGGATGCTGCTTTTTTCTTTGCCACTGTTGAGTGGTGTGCAGCAGAGTTGGAGAGCATGTCCTCAATATGATCCAAGTTAAGGAAGACTTTCAACTGTCACCACCATGGTCAGTTCTGATGAAATACATGATATAATTATCGATGATCGATGACCGATGCAGCATATACAGTTGTCATTAGTCGCGAGGGAGCTGAGAACATTGGCGCGCTGTGTTTGATGCCTTCTTTTATGACTCCTGATCAGAAACGCTTCATATTCAACATCTCGTGTGAGAATTTAGTCGTTTTGAAGCAGACCCAGCTGATGTTGTTGAATGATTCGTAACCATGGATGAATATCGGGCTCACCACTAGTTGCCAGAGAATAAACAACAGTCAAAGTAGTGGAGACATCTAACGTCTCAGACGACGAAAAAGGCAAAGTCTGGCAAGGTGATAGGTGATGTCTTTGGCTGTCTGGAATTCCAAAGGAATCCTACTGGACTACCTCCCGAAAGGTCAGACCATTAATGGCTAATATTATAGCCCAAGGCTACTGCGTGAGGACATGAAGGCTCCACGTTGTGGAAAACTCACTGACGGTGTGTTATTAAACCAGGACAATGCACCTGTGCAGGACTGGCTTTGAACTGCATCGATATCTCCACCTCTCCCAAACATGAAGAAAGAAGTCTTCAGATGTTTTCATATCTGCTGTCGAGGACGTTCGCACAACCAGGAGAAAGCCTTCTACATCGGTGAGGTCCAGGCACGCGAGCATCGTTGGCAGTGTGTGGACCTCGGAGGGAATTATGAGGGGAAAATAAATCGAAATCATGTCCACCAAGGCAGTCCATATAGTTGTGCTCAGTACTTTTCAGCCATTCCTCTTATGCATGTCTTATCTCAGAGCCTGTTCAGATCTATATATGGGTAAGTGCAGCCATTAGACACCTTCTCATGGAGCATTGATAGGTGCACCTGTGACTGACTCGCAGTAATAGTACTGAAATACTGTAAGTTCCAATCATCGTCAATATTTAAAGGTCGTTATAAGGCAGTTTTCCTGTCATACCCAATGGTATGGGGTAGATATGAAAACTGCCTATTATTAACCTTTTTTCCCAAGTACCATAATATCAAATCGTCACGCCGAAGACCCGGGTTCGATTCCCGTCATGGGTACATTGTGTGAAGCCAATTTCTGGTGTCCCCCGCCGTGATATTGCTGGAATATTGCTTAAAGCGGCGTAAAACCATACTCACTCACTCACTCGAATCATAAAACATCCATAAATTCCGTGTCCCGACTGAGTCAAAAGTTTCTGAAAGGCGTCATGTCCCTGTCGGTTTTATGTACCGTGTTCTCGTTTTCATTTGGTTCACAAAACCTTTCGTGTCCGTTTCACTTCAAAATCTGTCATCAGCTTTGTCCAAGATGGCATCTAGCTCTATAATTCTATTTGCAAGAGAATACAACATATTTTCGCCTTGTTTGGAACACTGGAAAGGTTGCTGAACAGACGACGCACTAAGGGACATAACTCCAATTTCTTAACACCCGACCTTCTTTGGCACAGCCGTACAACCAGGTCACACCTGTTTTCCATCGCGAGCAGGTAAGAGCCAAACATATACACATTACACAGTATCGCAACAAAAGTAACTCTCGGGCCAATATACTCGGTTTATTCGGTTACCTATGTAACAGACCCGTGCAGATTCGGGGTAGAATAGGTCTTCAGCAACCCATGCTTGCCGTAAAAGGCGACTATGCTTGTAAAAGGCGACTAACGGGATCGGGTGGCCAGGGTGGCCAGGCTCGCCGACTTTGTTAATGCATGTCATCGTATCCCAATTGTGTGGATCGATGCTCATGCTGTCAATCACTGGATTGTCTGGTCCAGACTCGATTATTTACAGACCGCCGACATATAGCTGGAATATTGCTGAGTGTGGCGTTAAACAACAAATAACATAACCTTTGTAACGCTTCAAGGGCGGATCCAGCATTTTTAAAAGTGAATCAAAATCAAAATCCTCTCTCGAGATAAGTTTACTGCCTACAATATACATTTGCTTTTCAAAAGGGTGGGGTGGGTCCGGACTGCAGTAATCTAGACTTTCCAACTTTTATAGACCTGCGTGGGCTGAATTGGATATATTTCTTTCAGCGTCCGTATGAGAGACTCGTGTGTACCACCACACACACCTTCACTGACGCCGACACTCTTATAACACAGCCATTTTTTGATATATACCGTAGGTGTGCGCCTCGCACTGGCCTATAAATAATCCAGTACATGACCCGTTCGAAGTGTGTCGTGTCATTGAGCGTACGGCCGAATACGCGAAAGCTGATAACATCAAGGTCAGACCAGTTTAAAAGGCCGAATGTGGGTGCAGGCTAAATCGGCACCGATTTCTCGGGCAAAAACGGCACCTCGTTGAGCGAAAACGGCTACTAATTGTCGGGCGAAAACGGCACCTCTGTTTTAAATAACGATAACAACGATTTATGTTTGGTTAATTTGAGTAGGGGTAATTAAAACTTCAAAAGGTGGGATGTTTTCACGATAAGTTTAGTTTCACCCCCAATCAGAGTCGGCAAGTAAATTGGAATGAAGGCTAGTTTCTAATTTAAACTTGTTTTAACATTTCACAAATATTTGTGTTTGCAACAGACCATGTGAGTTTAATTTCATGTATTTCATTACCAAGATAAAAAAAAAATAAGGTGCCGTTTTCGGCAGGCAATAGTAGCCGTTTTCGCTTTAAGCGAGGTGACGTTTTCGCTCAGTTCCGTTTTGCTGAGGTGCCGTTATAGCTCGGACGTTTGGGCGCCATCGAACAATGTGCCAACTTCCGCGGCAGATAGAGCGGTTTTCTAGACTGATTTTTGTAATATTTTTGAACATTGTGTCAAATTTGTGTGTATACATGTTTATAATAAAAATACGATAAACGTAACGTTATTTAGACGGTCACCGATCAGACAGCTATATTCGACTTTCTGGCATTGTCGAACCCGGCTATTAAATATAGGAGAATTTAACTATAGACTTACTAACGCCTCACTCAGCAATATCCAGCTGTATGACGGCGGTCTGTAAATAATCGAGTTTTTGGGATACGATGACATGCATCAACCAAGCCAGCGAGCCTGACCTCCCAATCAGTTAGTCGCCTCTTACAACAAGCATAGTCGCCTTTTTACGGCAAGCATGGGCTGATGAAGACTTACTCTACGCCGGACCTTCACGGGTCGATAAGAGTCATGTGCGAGTTCTGAGCCTAACTATGCAGCAGAGTCATCTACCGCTGAAATGAAGGGGGCACGGGTGGCCCAGTCGTCTAAGGCGCCGTGATTCGTTGTGCAGAGCTGCGTCCCTTGGACACGCCAGAAACCTATCATTGTGGGTTCGAATCCCGGTTCGCCCCAATTATGTTTCTAGGTTTGTCAGCACCATACCCGTGCTCGTGGGTTTCACCGAAGTGGTAAACGTCTGAGACCTGCATCATCGGGCCTTCCACCCACATTAAGCTGACACGCCATGATATAACTGTAATACTGTTAAAAGCGGCGTTAAACCAAACTCACACAGCTGAAATGACGTCATCATAATATGCATGATATTTGCATTGACTCAATGACGTGTGATGAGTCGTCAATGATCCAAAATCATATATTTCAGGCACATTTTCCTCAATGGTGGCAATTAAAGGCGTTTCTGATCTTGAATCATCAACGATGCTTTCTATTCACCGCTGCAACCCCACTGCGCGCCCCAGAACAATGGCAAAGGGATGAGCGTTATCTCCTTAATGACAGCGCGGTACCCAAATTTGTCCATTTTCGTCAACCTTGAGTACCGAGTCACTTTGATGCCTGCAGAAATATGCTGCCTGGTTGTGTAGTTGGTTCAAATACAGCCCGTGAGCATGTGTCGTATTGTACGTAATGCATGCAAACTGTCAAAGGGGTACCCATCTTCCCGAGGCAAAGGTGAGGTGAGGTGAGGTGAGGTGAAATTGGGTTTAACGTCGCGTCAAAGATTATTGCACAGCGACGTGCAATGCACGTGTGTGTGTGTGTGGCTGAATGTACTAGTCTGGACTGATGCCGATTTTATAGTGCCAGCTCACTGAGATACCTGCCGCAGTTTTTTCAGTCAGTTAACTCCCTTGCCTTGAGAAGATGGGGTGTACCATACATGCATTGTAGGTCAACTCAGACAACCCTCGTACAAGCGATAACAATCACATAAAATATAAACATGCGTGTGCAACACGTGGACGGTATTCAAACCATCAGTGTGATGCCATGTTATTGTTGAAGCAGGAGTTACTGGCCATTCTTATTGCACGTTTCCACAACTAAAACTGACGCAAATGTAGGTGTTTTTGAAAAATTATAGAGGAATTATATATCAACCATAACATGGTCGGGGCTGGTTGAATCTAATTTCGGAACCAACAGATTCAAGTGAACTCTCCATAACGCAACAGATTTTATTCTTCGATTTATAGATGAATTCAAGGTAATGTATGGTATAAAACCAATACACGACATACATTATATGTTACAATGTGCTACATGTAACGTCATGATGTTGAATTTGGAAACAGGTCCATCATGTTTTTCGACGGTCTGGACGCCGATGTCGAGTTTGGGAAGACCTTCCAAGAGCGGGAGTTTACTTTCAAACAAGGAGCTGTGCTACTCAACCATGGGTCGTTCGGGGCCGTGTCGAGACGCCTGCAGGAGGTGCAGAGATGGTAAGGTTTGAGGATGCAGACGACTGCAGGAGGTGCAGAGAAGGTAATGTTTGAGGGTGTAGACGCCTGCAAGAGGTGCAGAGGTGGTAAGGTTTGAGTATGTAGACCCCTGCAGGAGGTGCAGTGATGGTAAGGATTGAGGATGTAGACGCCTACAGGTGGTGCAGAGATGGTAAGGTTTGAGGAAGTAGACGCCTGCAAGAGGTGCAGAGAAGGTAATGTTTGAGGGTGTAGACGCCTGCAAGAGGTGCAGAGACGGTAATGTTTGAGGGTGAAGACGCCTGCAAGAGGTGCAGAGAAGGTAATGTTTGAGGGTGTAGACGCCTGCAAGAGGTGCAGAGACGGTAATGTTTGAGGGTGTAGACGCCTGCAAGAGGCGCAGAGAAGGTAATGTTTGAGGGTGTAGACGCCTGCAGGAGGTGCAGAGAAGGTAATGTTTGAGGGTGTAGACGCCTGCAAGAGGTGCAGAGACGGTAATGTTTGAGGGTGAAGACGCCTGCAAGAGGTGCAGAGAAGGTAATGTTTGAGGGTGTAGACGCCTGCAAGAGGTGCAGAGACGGTAATGTTTGAGGGTGTAGACGCCTGCAAGAGGCGCAGAGAAGGTAATGTTTGAGGGTGTAGACGCCTGCAGGAGGTGCAGAGACGGTAATGTTTGAGGGTGTAGACGCCTGCAAGAGGTGCAGAGACGGTAATGTTTGAGGATGTAGACGCCTGCAGGAGGTGCAGAGACGGTAATGTTTGAGGGTGTAGACGCCTGCAGGAGGTGCAGAGATGGTAATGTTTGAGGGAGTAGACCCCTGCAAGAGGTGCAGTGATGGTAAGGATTGAGGATGTAGACGCCTGCAGGTGGTGCAGAGATGGTAAGGTTTGAGGAAGTGAATGAGTGAATGATATTATGAGCATCATTTCGTGCAGTCGGTGAACGATGGCCGCAAACTCCAAGAATCATACACTAAGTTACTCATGTGACGTTACATAGGGTTTCTCGTCGCTTTCAAGATTATTGCACTTTATCCATAAGGCATTAAGCATACCGAATATGGTGCGGAGAAGTGAAATGGGGTTTAGCGTGTCGTCCAAGACTATTGCAGCTATATAGCGACGTGCATGCACGTGTGTGTGGCTACCTGTACTAGTCCGGACTGTTGAGGATTTTATAGTGCTGGCCCACTGAGATACCATGCCGCAGTTTAACATGAAAAACCCCACTCAGAAACAGTATACTGACTCCGAGACGACTAATCCGTGTTTTAGGCCCTTAATGCCGAGCGCCAGGCCAAATAACAAGTACCATCGTTTAACGTCTTTTGGTATGATGCGGCCGGAGATCGAAACACGAATCTTCCGCTCTACCGGGCGGACGCTCCACCACTGGACCACGGAGGTGGTCTGCATACGTGACATGAATGATAATACATATTAGATGGTAGTCATTTTTTTCTCCCTCCCAGGTACCTGACCGAGATGAACGCCCAGCCCGACCTATGGTTCCGGGAGAACGTGTATAAGTATTGGGGGGAGTCATTGGGGGCGGCGGCACGGTTCTTCAACTGTGACCCCAAAGATATCGTCTTTGTTACCAATGCTACAGAGGGTAAGTTTGGTCAAAATCGAATAAAGCATAATATTCATTCCATTAACAGAGTGAGTGAGTTTAGTTTAACGCTGCTTTAGAACAGCAGAAAAAATATCACGGTGTGTGAAGCAGGTCTGATGGCAGGTAACAAACCCATCAAGGCGAATCTAAGATTCGAAACCACGATCATAGGTTTCTGGTGCCCCTAAGGGACGCAACTATGCACACGTAATTGCAGCGCATTAGTTGATCGGCCATCTGTGCCCGGGTCTATTGAAAGAGAGATTTTTCCTTGTGGCAGTGAGCGCATGGCTGGCCCAGTACTCAAAGGCGCCGTGATTCTCTGTGCAGAGTTGCGTCCCTTTGGCACGCCAGAAACCTATGATTGTGGGTTCGAATCCCGGTTAGCCCCGATTATGTATAGGTTTGCTCGTGGGTTTCACCGAAGTGGTAAACGTCTGCAACCTGAAAAAACTTCGGGCTTTCATCCCACATTAAGTTGACACGCCTTTATATAACAGGAATACTGTTAAAAGCGGGGTTAAACCCAATTGACTCACTCGCTCACTTCTTGTGGCATGTAGTGGCAGTCATTTGAAAAGGTTCATCTGCCTTTTCACCATCTTCCCGAGGCAAGAACGTCCACCAGCCTTTTTGTCAAAGTCTTGTTTCCACACTTGCCACATCAAGCCAACTTTCCTGTGCTGAATCTGATTGGACTCTCTTACATGTTGATAGTCCAATCAGAGAACGTTTCACAAAATCAACATCTACGACTGGTACACCTTCGTATGAAAGTGATTTACCGTTGCCTGTCTGCGTTGACACGCATATGACTTTTTATCTTTTAAACCCCCCCAACGATTGCCTATGTTTTTGTGTCAGGGATGAAATCGCAAATGTTTTCGTTATCTGATCGATTAGTCACATCTTTGTGAAGTTGTAAGAGATAAGATCAGCGATCTGATTGGATATCGCATTTTTTTATTACAAGGGGCACAACTCGTGATCTACGTGAGGTGGCGCCAGGGTCGATCCAAGAATGGCCTTGATGTGGCAAAGGTAGAAACTAGGCTTTGATATAGTCTAGTGGACACGCTTGTCTCGGGAAGATGTCTGTTCACAGATAATGGTCTCATTTGACGGGCTCTGGTTGTGTGGAAAGAAACAGTTACTTGAATTCGTCTGTGAATGATGGATAGTTTGTATCATTCTATAATTTTCAGAACCTGAAAAAGTAGAAGTTCTTTTGGGGTAAAAAATCGGCTTGGTATAATATATACGGCTCTTCTATATAATCGCCACCAATGAGTCACATTCTCAGGTTCAAGTTCACAAAAGCAACACATATCAACATCAACAAGATTCATGCTAAACAAATCTCATTTTGCATGAAACTGTCATCACACTGTCACGTTGTTTATACCAGGTATCAATGCCGTGCTGAAAAGCTATGATTTCAAAGAGGGTGAGACAATCCTGTCCACCAGTCTCACCTATGGAGCTATCGCTCTCACCTGCAGGGACGTCGCCGCCCAGAATCGAGGTACCCCGTTATAAGGCATCTGATAGATTAGTGAGATCTTCTTTCAGCAATACTAAAGCAGAAACAGGACCGGTCCTGGAGGCCAATTACGGCGTTACAAACGGTTTTCCCCCTGTAGAGTCTGTTGTAAATCGTGGCACCTAATGTGAATTAATTTTAAAAAAACCCCAAAAAACCCCCCAAAAACCCAACCCCCCGAAAAACAACAATCAAATCAAACAAAACCAACAACAGCTAACAAATACAGTAAACTACGTTTATAACGAACACGCTTATAACGAACTGATCGATATAACGAACTTATTTTTCAGTCCCGGCCATTTGTTGTATATATGCTGGAAATATGCTTACAACGAACTACGGTTATTACGAACTACAATTAGTGGTCCCTTTGAGTTCGTTATAACCGTAGTTTACTGTAAACACACACACACACACACACACACACAAAAAACAGAAAAAAACCAGCAACAAACAAACAAACACCCCAAACCCTTGTATTCCATGTCCAGTTCTCGGCATCACAATCGAACGCTTTAACCGCTAGACCATCATTAGAAACTTTAATCAACCAGAACGAAGTCAACCCGCCCCCTACACTCAGGGAAAATATGTCATCCACAAATATGGGTGTGCTTTTTTAAAACTGTTTACTTCTAACGTCATATGTTACGTTCGGGGAGATTATGTAATCCACTCATGATGACCATTCCGAATGCTTTTCTCATCAATTCGTGTTTTAATAAATTAATAGAATCATTTTTAAAACTCTTCTTATGTAGTTTTTCTTTCTATATTTCTTGTTTATGTTTTGTTGTTGCAATTGTTAGATCTATACATGCAGAAGACATAGTTAAATTTCAGTTATCAAGTCCGAAGTTATTGAGATTGGATTCCCGATTGAGAGCGAAGAAGCAGTGTTAAGACAGTATGAAGAGTATTTGAAGGCTCACCCCAACACCAGAATGGTGGTGATAGGTAAGTGATTCAATCAAATTATTTAAAAAACATAAACCATGTAGAAGTATTCTTTGAGTGATGACTAAGCGTCAGTACAGTTCATGTTTGGGATGTAATATCGCAAACTTCAGATATTGTCAATTTAACCAAACATATGAGTGAGTGAGTGAGTATGGTTTTACGCCGCTTTCAGCAATATTCCAGCAATATCGCGGCGGGGCTTCACATATTGTACCCACGTCGGGAATCGAACCCGGGTCTTCGGCGTGACGAGCGAACGCTTTAATCACTAGGCTACCCGACCGCCCCTCTAACGTATGGTAAAATCTACTGAGACGTATAGCTTTTTGATTCACTCTAAATCTCTGTGGACTATGGAATACTGTAAGGGACATTCTCGCGATCTCGACCATTGGAAGCGACCCAAATATGTGGCATTCTCGTGTTTTTTTGGCATATTTAGCTCGTTTCCAAATGTCGAGATTGCGAGAATGCGAGATCGTGAGGATATTCCTTACAGTATTCCATAGTGGACCATTTTATGTGTACGTCTAGATTATTGCAGTTCGCGAGACTTACACACGCCATTGTTTATAGAGGCATTGAGAGAGTTGCAGTCCTGAACAGTTTGATTCAAGTCGTATAAATACCATGATTATATTTGTCATTCCATGAAAATATTTTACTCTGATACGATACCTCTCTGGGTGAAGATCTGAGTACACGTCTATAAGAGACTGCATCAACTGAGCGTTATAATCAGTGAATCAGCGCCCGGGCGTTAAGTTCTCGGTTCCAGTAAGCGCAGCATTCGGACTTGCATAACTGATTTCGGTATCTGGAAAACGAGCTATATAACAAATAAAGACAGTTTCGGAATGTACATGAGTGGAAAAATGGGTTTTGACGGAGAGGTTTATCGCCTCCTTTTAATCTCCTTTAACTTTTCAACTTGCGCCTCTTGGTGTCTTGATGGTATGGTGTTATACAGATGGTATGGTGTTATACAGATGGTATGGTGTTATACAGATCACATCACAAGCCCGTCTGCAGTGTTGCTTCCCGTGAAAAAGTTGGCGAAGATTTGCCACAAATATGGTGCCCTCGTGATGGTTGATGGTGCGCATGCGCCCGGACATGTTCCTGTGGATTTGGAGGATCTCTGTGTTGACTTCTACACAGGTAAAACGAGTCCTGCTGTTTCTGATAGGACGGGTGTCAGAGAGGTAGATCTTGTTTTGAAATGGTTTTGGTTAGTGTGGATCCCCAGCATATATGCTTGTCGTATGAGGCGACTTCATGGAGGGGGTGGTCAGGTTCCGTGACTTGGTTGACAGCGTGTCATCGTACCCCGATAATGGGACGTTGCTCACAATATCAATCACTGGTGTGACTGGTCCAGATTAACATTATTTACAGGAAGAATTCATATAGCTGTAATATTGCTGAGTGCGGTGTTAAACAACAAACAAATTTAAATATTTTGAAACGAATCTCTGAAAGTCACAGCTCAATTTTTCACATTGATGGAAAATGTTCATAAATGGTCTCCCTGTTTGAAGCCCCGGGTTTAGAATTGGTCTTCAGCAGCCCATACTTGTCGTAAGAAGTGACTAACGGGATTGGCGGTCAGGCTCGGTTGGTTGATGCATGTCATCGTGTCCTTATTTCGTAGATCGATGCCCATGATGTCAAACACTGGATCGTCTGGATTACGTATTGACCGCCGCCATATAGTCCGACGGAAAACAACAAACATAACAAGCCTTTTTGCTTTCGATCACATCATACAGATTTCGAAGTGTTGAAAAGGGGCAGAAAATATGAAAGATGTTAACGGGTTTCAACAATATACACGTTTCTCCTTTAAAACAGTGCACATAAATATCTGTATTTAACACAGGCAACTTCCATAAGTGGATTTTCACTCCCCGCGGCTGCGCAGTGCTATATGTGAACAGGAAACATCATGATTGGATGAAACCGTTGGTGACGTCACACTGTGCTGACGGTTCCCTAGGTGAACAATTCTTCCAAGCCGGATCACGTGACCACGTCCCGTTTGTATGCGCAAAATACGCCTTGGAGTTCTGTGAGAGAATAGGGGGAATGGTGAGTTTCCTAATACTTATTTTTTGGCAATTAAAGTGAAAGAGGAAAGTGAAAAGGATGCAATTTGTATTTCAACCCAAGATTACGAAAACGTTTATAATTGAATTTACTTTGAGACATATCGGGTGCCCCGTTGAACAGAGACCCACGCATTACAAAGACTGTAGACGCTATTATATGTTCAATATTGGAGTTAGAATAGTCGTAAACCACTCAAATATATTAATAGTCGTTGAGATAATGACTTCGCGGAAAAAAACCGTGGGTGTTAAAAGGTTAACGATGGCATAGTGAAACAAGGAACTAGACAGCGACACAGCGATAAAAGCACCGTTGAACCGTGAAATCCGATCCCCGTTAATCCGGATTATTGCGTACGTAGTTAGAGCCCTTTAATGTATATTTTCCCACGCAATAGTCCGTACTACAGGGTGTCTGGACAAGAGGGGTTTCAGGGTACAGTGATGTTGCAGGGTCGCATCATGGCCTACAGCGCTGAGCTTGCCACAGAGGCCCAGGAGTACCTTGCGAAGTTGTTCCAGACAGACAGACCGGCGCTCCCGCGGGATATGGAGGCGCCCAACATGAAGCTGGTCGAGCTGCCAGAGATAAAGGTCCCTTTAAGCAAGGTACTGCAACACCCCGGGATAAGCCTTATCCTTACTATGGACTAATACACGAATAAACTAGTGACTTTAACATACAACTTTCTTGGAACACCGGATGTGATATTGAACGTTATGCAACTTGGTTTGGGTTTCAGGAACCATCCTTCGATTTCTTCATGAACTTTTGGAGGAAGACGAACATACAGACAAATACATTTCAACTGCAGGGGCGTGTCTACCTGAGAGTGAGTCCCAGCATATACAACTATATGGAAGAATACAGGCAGCTCGGGCAGGCCATGCTGGACTATATACAGGATATAAACAATGCTCAGTGACCATCGCTGATACTGTGGCAACCGGTCAAGCAGTGACCAATAGTAATGTAACAGTGCTAAAATTGCTATATTTTATTCAACTTTTTGTGAAATTCGCCTTCAATTCATAAGTTGTCGGTTAACCATTTAAGACCTGTTGGTACATACTAGATTTACGCCGCCACAATCAGGTCGGTGGGCGAGACTTTAATTACATGTTGAATAACAACTGGTAGTGGTCAGCGCGTTCGGCACTTACCAGTGTACCGTTATCAGCTATTTAGCGGCAACTGACCAAACTAGAAAATTGAAAACGCGAAACCAAACACGAGCTGAGTGGTTCTATCGGCATTTATAATCTTCTATTACTCAACTTTCCAAACTGACCGTCTGCTTTGGCTATTAACAGACCAAACCCATCATACAAAATTGTATAACATGTCCAGTCTTTATTAGTCCAAAGTCTCAAATTTCAAACTGGACATGCACGTGTAGACTTGTCTTCAGATTAACAAAGGAGGTCTCAGGTATAAATATAGGGGGAAATCGACTGTTAGTCATTCCTGCTTTGCCTGAGAACCTCTCTCTGTTTGTCTTTGAAGGTAAGTCACTTTTACTTGTTACTTTGGCATTTAGGTTGAACTTTGATTAAAATTGTCTTTTAAAATTGTCTTTAATTTTGTATGAATATCTTGCTTGAACAATGAACTTATACTCTATGTATTCGAAATGCCGTGCGAATCTAAGCTGCATATTATTCAAGTTTTACTGACACAAATTAACTACAGTAATTTATATGCGTGCGTCGCATGTCGAAATATTACTATTCCACAATCAGCGTTCGTATCCAACATGTTTATTTATCGGGTTAAAACTACTAGGCAAATACATTTGTAATTATTAATCACAGGTGTCATGGATGCTTCATAATTATCATGTTTTAATGTGAATAGCGTGCATTATAATAATGTATCAATTATTTGTCCATGTATCGGTAGGACCACTATTCATATGTGTGTCGTGTTATTTACCTTATTGTATGCTGTATCGTTAGTAGAGTGGTTTTATAATGCAAGAACGTTAAATGCGTCAATATGCATTAACATGATCCAGTTACTCGATATAATTTACGTTTTGTATATTTGTTTGCATTCTTATGCCTGATAAATACGGTTCAAGAATATAACTTATATCCGATGTTCATGCATCAAATATATTCTTTATATACAAAACCAGATCAGTGCAAGTACAGCAAAGTATATTATTCTTATCTGTAGCCCAAAATATATTTCTCATTAGGTAACTACTTTGTGAGGGCATATCACTAGACTACAATACTTGAACGTAACTTTTTGTTCTAGATAAATGCACGCAAATTAAGCAATGCCTGATAAATTTATGTTTTCCAATTTATGCATATTATTTCCATTCGGTAAGATGAATGGACGCTGTATAGAATATCTCAGATACTATACTTTTAGCATAATGTGGACGCTACAGATAACGTAGTAGTTTTATGTTGTAGAATAGTTATAATGAAACAGGCTTTCCTATAGCAGTATTTATATTCATTTCTAAATTACAGTTCACGAGCAATTTCTCTGTTTTGGCGAAATCTCCAATAAGGTTCATAAACATTCACAATAGAACATACCTTCACTAATAATCAGTTTTTAATTCATATATATTTCAAGTTTCAAATACGGTATTCATTCATGTGTGATTTGTATAAGCTCGGCCCACATTTAGTATAGTGTATTCAGTCATTGAATGCAGGTCCCATTATTATTTACCGTATTAAATCTTGTGTTCACTATTTAACTCTGGAGTGTACACCTGAATCAGCTATAGTTCATGACGTCACATGTACCGTATTTAATATAAAATAAGTTATTAGACATGTCATTGTTCAAGAAAGGTGTTGTTATAATCTTTCATATGAATGCTTTTTGTAAACATTGTTCAGATGTTATTTATGAGTACCTTAAATATATATATCAAACATTATGAGTAATTATCAATGAGTAATTTAATTTGAATTGATTATAATGTCTGCATTATATCAAATGTTCACTGCTATGATATTGAATATCCAATGAGTTGAGCCTACACTTTACACTTTGTTATTATTTTACAAATGGTATTTTAATTATAAATGTGTTACGTAATCTTATGCAATGTTATATTAGGCTGTAACTTGAATAGGTACTGAGACGTCTCTGAAGTTAATACATTGTTTTCAAAGTGAGATCACATAACAAGCAATTGTTTATTAACTCATGCCTATTATATAACAAAGAATATCTAAACAGTTTTGGTATCACTGCTTAATTATTTGTCTGATTATGTCTTTGTGTTTGATGATGAAGGAGATTGTCTGACTATGTCTATATGCTTGATGATGATGAAAACATTTAATAAAGAATTCCTGCTTTGCCTGAGAACCTCTCTCTGTTTGTCTTTGAAGGTGTGTTGATACCGTGGCTAATTCCCCGAAAGCATTCTAGGTTTTGATCAGTTTTAGTGTAAAAACTAACTCTGTTTCAATTGGAATATACTTTGCTGTACTTGCACTGATCTGGTTTTGTATATAAAGAATATATTTGATGCATGAACATCGGATATAAGTTATATTCTTGAACCGTATTTATCAGGCATAAGAACGCAAACAAATATACTAACGTAAATTATATCGAGTAACTGGATCATGTTAATGCATATTGACGCATTTAACGTTCTTGCATTATAAAACCACTCTACTAACGATACAGCATACAATAAGGTAAATAACACGACACACATATGAATAGTGGTCCTACCGATACATGGACAAATAATTGATACATTATTATAATGCACGCTATTCACATTAAAACATAATAATTATGAAGCATCCACGACACCTGTGATTAATAATTACAAATGTATTTGCCTAGTAGTTTTAACCCGATAAATAAAAATGTGGGATACGAACGCTGATTGTGGAATAGTAATATTTCTATATGCAACGCACGCATATAAATTACTGTAGTTAATTTGTGTCAGTAAAACTTGAATAATATGCAGCTTAGATTCGCACGGCATTTCGAATACATAGAGTATAAGTTCATTGTTCAAGCAAGATATTCATACAAAATTAAAGACAATTTTAAAAGACAATTTTAATCAAAGTTCAACCTAAATGCCAAAGTAACAAGTAAAAGTGACTTACCTTCAAAGACAAACAGAGAGAGGTTCTCAGGCAAAGCAGGAATGACTAACAGTCGATTTCCCCCTATATTTATACCTGAGACCTCCTTTGTTAATCTGAAGGCAAGTCTACACGTGCATGTCCAGTTTGAAATTTGAGACTTTGGACTAATAAAGACTGGACATGTTATACAATTTTGTATGATGAGTTTGGTCTGTTAATAGCCAAAGCAGACGGTCAGTTTGGAAAGTTGAGTAATAGAAGATTATAAATGCCGATAGAACCACTCAGCTCGTGTTTGGTTTCGCGTTTTCAATTTTCTAGTTTGGTCAATTGCCGCTAAATAGCTGATAACGGTACACTGGTAAGTGCCGAACGCGCTGACCACTACCAGTTGTTATTCAACATGTAATTAAAGTCTCGCCCACCGACCTGTTTGTGGCGGCGTAAATCTAAAGTGCCAGATGTTGTTATGCAATTTCTTATCTCTAGTACGTACCAACAGGTCTTAAATGGTTAACCGACAACTTATGAATTGAAGGCGAATTTCACAAAAAGTTGAATAAAATATAGCAATTTTAGCACTGTTACAGTAATATGAATGCTTATCTCCAGGAGTTGGTCCATCAGACATAAGGTGCCACATTTTCAATACGGTAATTATTTGGTGGGGACAAATGTGATTGATCGTGTTAACCAGGAGTTAGTTGTTCTATATTCCGGACTGACGTCACCATATCCGCAGCACTACTTCTCTCTCCCTTCCTCTTTCTATCCTTCCCTCGCTCTTTCTACCCTTCTCTCCCGCTTTCTACCCTTCTCTCCCTCTTTCTACCCTTCTCTCCCTCTTTCTACCCTTCTCACCCGACCTGCCTCTTTCAACCCTTCTCACCCCACCTTCCTCTTTCTATCCTTCTCTCCCTCTCTACCCTTATCTTTCTCCCTTCCTCTTTCTATCCCGCTCTCTCTCGTTCTACCATTTTCCTCCCTACCCTCTTTACCCATCTTCCCGAGGCAAGGGAGTTAACTGACTCTAAACGTCCAGTTTCCACCCTTGCCGAACTAGGCTGAATTTGCTGGGTTCGATCGTAGCGCCACCAGTGGCTATTACGAGTTATGTCCCTACTATGCCCCTCCTATTGACGAATTAGATTCCACCACTCACATCACTTGCATTTGCTTAAAACAAAATGGCGGCGCCCAGTCAAGACGATCTGATCGATGATCACGATATATATTGTAATAAAACGGGTCTTACCTCGCGAGGTGCATCACATCACCTGAACATCTTCATTAAAAACATGAAAACATTTGGACAATATCTGTCGACGCCCAGTTGACTGTACACATGCTTTGCAAATCCTGCAGTCGACTGAAACCTGCATGTTGAAATCCACGTTGTTTACGAACCGGATGTAGATTTCGTTACGCGATTTTGATTGGACTATGCATAGGCTTGTAAGTCCAGGCAAAAAGTAACTCCGAAATTCCAGCCACGTTCGGCAAGGATGGAAACAGGACTTTTATGGTCAGTTAACGCCCTTGCCTCGGAAAGATGCAATGTGGTGTGTTGGGTTGCAACCGCTCCGTCTTCACGAAACGTGTGATGGACTATAGGTATCACAATGTCAGATGTCGGTCTCGTGTCACAACGTGGAGGGGGGCACGGGTGGCCCAGTCGTCTAAGGCGCTGCGATTCACTGTGCTGAGATGCGTCCCTTGGGAACGCCAGAAACCTATGGTTATGGGTTCGAATCCCGGTTCGCCCTGATTATGTTTCAGGGACTACCAGCACCGTAGCCGTGCTCGTGGGTTTCACCGAAGTGTTAAGTCTGAGACCTGCATAAATTCAGTCTTTCCTCCCACATTAAGCTGACACGCCGCGATATAACTGAAATACTGTTAAAAGTGGCGTTAAACCCAACTCACTCACTCACTCAACGTGGATCGTTATTAAACGAGCGAATGCGTAAGTGAATTAGGGTTAACGCTACTTTAAACACCATTGTCTGTTATATACTACTCAAAAGAAGATACAGACCACTCATTTTTTTGCCATATGATTAGACCTTATCTCTTATTGCCATGATTTACAATAATCGATGAAACATTTGTGTTTTCTTTAACTTCTTTTGAGTAGTGTACCACTGTGCCTCAGCTTACTGTGGAAGGACACGACTCACTCACCCACCCTTGTCAGTTGTCGCAAACACAGGAGACACACAAACCACGCTCTCAAAACGAAAGTCATATTCTTTGGGTAACCGGGATCAGGTGGTGAGACTCACTGACTTGGTTGATCCATGTCATCGTATCCCAAATGCGTGGATTGATGCCCATGATATCAATCACTGGATTGTCTAGTTGAGACTCGATTATTTACAGACCGCAGTCATATATATAGCTGGAATATTGTTGAGTGCGGTGTCAAACAACAAACGAACAAATATTTGGGTGACCCACACCAAATTAAAACTCAAGCAGGTCGTTGTTCGCGTTGTGTGACTGATTGAAGCAGCTGTAAAATATCAAGATCACCCCACACGTTGACCAGATCGTGTACCAACGCTGTTATCATTTCGCCTTTAGAAAATAAGATCCCTGGAAATCAAAACCTCTCAACGGGATTAGTGTGGAAGCTATTAATCATATGAAAGAAGAACATGTTTATAAGTTTAACTGTTGGAATTTTTAAGCATTTGCAAGAATATGATGTTATTGTCTTTTGCAGACGATACTCATTGATTTTAATGAAGACTGTACACATTGGCATTTTGGTATTTTTTTATTCTTTTATTTGCACATGTTTGGGCATCGGGACATGGTACAGTCTTGGTCGACATACAAAATGACTTATAGGTATACAGAAGTATACAAAAGGCACAATTAGAGTGTTGGCATAAATCCCTGTCTTTCTTCATTTCTGCAAGACGTTCTCAGGCGCATTGCTTGATAAATAACTACATGTACAGGGACAGTTTTAAAATGCATTCATTCAGTTGGGTATTAATGATATGAGATTATAGAATTTTTGCGCGCCTGATCTTAGATTCCTGAAATCCTTCATTAACAGGGCTTGGCAAATACACTACCGTGGAAAACAAACTATAGACCCATGGACCCATGCTTGAGGGGCGATCAAATATAAAACAATGAAGCACTATTTATTCGATTGTGATCTATTTGATACGGGTATCACAGCTGTGTTTCGGACGTCAGGTTTGCAGTGTTTTATCGATTATTTTCAACCTGCTAACGTTTTAATAACGTTTGTAAAGTTTTGCCCCAATCCAATTTTCAAGTGTATACTTCCTTTTGTACGACGGTTAATCACATTTCCCCCGAAATTAAATTTGTGTACATATTAATGTAGTGTGTGCGCGAATACTGTCCTTCTGGTGACAATTCAGTGAGTATTGTATTTATCTAACAGGACGAAGTTGCAAGAATATTGGAATGAGAAATCTTTATATATTCATGCATAAGTACTGATGACGTCAAAATCGGCCGCCCCACATCATTGTGCCAGGGTTGAAATATCAGCATAATATAAGACATGATTTATTATGAAACAGAAATTGATAAGGATGCACTTAAAAGGAAGACGGATCGACAAATTTGCTCACATCAGGTCGATCGATTGATTCACAATTATGAAAACGTGTGCATGCTCATAACGGGTCATCGAACCAGAATAATTATTATATCAATTTGTATTCTCTTCTTCCTGTATATTATATAATTCAAACAACCTGTCACAAGCAGGAATAATGTGCATTTATATTTCCAGTTTATCTACCGTTACCCAAGAAAAGAAACTCTCAGAAATCCCCAATCCCGTTACATTCCGCCGCCAGCGCTGCTTCGTTCCATTCCATTCGTGACACGGGCTATGCGTGTCCGAGAGCCACGACATGAATTTATATACAATCTTTAAAAGTTCACATCCCGCTTCTATTTCATTATACCTCTTTCGTTAAAATTCTAAACAAATATCTTTGGTGATTTTCTCCACACCTTAAATCGCCCAACACTAATACAGATGAATCTGTGTTAGACGAAAATAGTGCGAGTTGTTTGCCATGTACAGCCAAACAGTGTGTTCATATAGACACTAATTTACTTCCCGTGACAGCTCTGGGCGCGCTGTGAATGCTAGCCCTAATGCAGTTTTATTGCACGATGAAGATTTGCTGATAAAAACACCGCCTGCCGAATTAATCACTTGAACTAACCCTAGTAAGCTTTGTA